CCCTCCTCCTCTACCACCTCCTCCTCCTCCTCCTTATGCCATCTGCCAGCTGTTGGTGCAGATTAAAGTGCAATGCTTCTCTGAGGATTTACATTTGTAGTGAGAGTAAAACAAAAACAGGATGTGGCCGAAGTTAAATATGATCTCATCTTTGCCTTTTGTGTTTGCATCTCTTCACTCAAGCTCCTGAACTTTCTCTCATGGAAGAAATACAGTAATGAGGGTACGGAAGAGAATTAGGGCTACTGAAAAAAAAAAAGTTCACTGATTTTTAAATGTTATTTCAGTTTAACATAGGAAAAAATTCTGACTTTTTTCTTAGAATTCTGACTTTAATCTCAGAATTCTGACTTTTTTCTCAGAATTCTGGCTTTAATCTCAGAATTCCGACCTAATCTCAGAATTCCGACTTTAATCTCAGAATTCTGACTTTTTTCTCAGAATTCTGACCTGAATCTCAGAATTCTGGCTTTAATCTCAGAATTCTGGCTTTAATCTCAGAATTCCGACTTTTTTCTCAGAATTCTGACTTTAATCTCAGAATTCTGACTTTTTTCTCAGAATTCTGACTTTAATCTCAGAATGCTAACTTTTTTCTCAGAATTTTGGATCTTAATGCAGATGGGCCCCATGAAGGAAGAGATGTGGGAGCACCCAGCTTCACTAACAAAGATGTGAGTTGTTTGAGGTGGCCAGTGACACATTGGTGGAAAATGACGGAATTAGGCAACTTTTTACGTGCCCGAGGGATCCCCTCATTAATGGAGGAGCAGAAGGTCATTAAAACAAGAGAGCTAGTCTCTAAAACAGACATGGCTATGGCTTGATGCTAACATGTTTGTTAGCTGTCAGAATTCTGAGATTAAAGTCAGAATTCTGAGATTAAAATCAGAATTCTGAGAAAGCTGTCTGAATTCTGAGAAAAAAGTCAAAATTCGGAGAAAAAAAGTCAGAATTCTGACTTTTTTCCCATGTTAAACTGAAATAAAGTTAAAGTTACCTTTTTTTTCAGTGGCCCTAATCCTCTTCCGTATGAGGAAATAGCAGCAATACATGCGCTTCACCTGATCTCAAGGGGTAGCTGCTGAAAGCACAAATGAATTGGAGAAAATCATGTATGTATCTGCCGATACTAATTCATGAAAAAGAAAACGATATCGGCCCTAAATATCATGAGGCTAATGTATTTGGCCTTTCTCTAATTAGTTACTTTTTCTTCCTGAAGTGCATCTTGTATGAAGGTCAAAATTTCAATTTTGGTTTAATTTGAGTAGGGCTCCTTTTTCCACATTTGCTATCTCCTATAAATCTGGTTGCAAACTGCAGATTTAGAGAGTCTTTGGGGATTTCTTTTAATAAGAGCTCCAATTCCATGAAGCCAGATGTGTGGTGGCCTAGTGGTTAAAGAGTTGGACATTTGTGTTCTGAGAGAGACCACATGATTGCCACTAAAAACCTCTTACTTTCATCCTGGGTCTCTAAGCTTGACCTTTAACACCACAATGATCCCAGGGCACAGCAAGCTGCCTACTGCTCTCTATGGGAAGGGATACGTGGAGAGGACAAATTTAGCTGTACAGTACTGCAATAATAAAGAAAGTGGGATTTACTAATAATTTATTCATTTATCATACACAAAATGAATGCCAAATAACATTTTTAAACTAGAAAAACAAGGCACACTCCCTTTGCTCCAGTTTTATATTTCTTTTATTAATTCTTCTCTTTAAAGTCATTTATTTTTTCCCTAAAGCTATTAGGTCATGTGACTGATTGACAATAAACAAATATCTAATGAAATATCTCTGCAGATACTGACTTGTTTTGTCCAAATAATGCATTTATTATTTATTTTTTTTTATCAAATTTTAAAGCAAACCAGTCTTGCCCAATGTGCTGCTGCTGCCATCAGATCTCTTAAATCACGTCACATCTCCAGCTAGGCCAATGGAAAAAAATCAGACCAGAACCCTCTTTTTAACCTGAGGGGGGCACCAGATAGAGAGATTTAGACACAAAGCTGGATTTTAACAAATGTGCAGAAAACTGCACAATGCCAGTGACATGTAGACAGCACCAAAAGTCGTCTGTACATTACATCAGCAAACAAAGAAACAAAAATAAAAAAATTGATATATAGTTGAGTGGTCCTTTAAGGCCTTCCTCCCTGAACTAAACCCTTAACAGTGTCTTGAAGGCTAAGGTTGCATCTACACCAAAATATAATATCCATATATATTCTTTTTTTAAGGAGATTTACAGCTGAAATTTTCATTCATTTTTTTGTCTCAAAATATTGTTGTTGTTTTCTAAGTTTTAAGTTAGACTGTTTTTTGTTGTTGTTCTTCACTTTAAATGATACAGAAAAAAACAAACCTTTTTTTTTTGGTGAAGCCTTAAAGGAATAGTACACCCAAAACATGATTAGCCTTCATTTTCTACTCACCCCCATGCTGAACAACACTCTGGAGTACTTTTTTGATATCTCAAATGCATCTGGAGATCTGGGAGGCTTCTTGCTGTCTGCTGACATTCAAATAATGGAGGTCTATTGTAGAGATGTCCCGATCCAGGTTTTTGCACTTCCGATCCGATACCGATATTGTTTTTGGACTTCCGATCCGATACCGATACTGGCCGATACCAGCCTATCCGAGCATGTATTTAAGTTTAAGTTAAAGTATTTAGCCTTAGTTGTAAGACTCATGTTGAAAAGGGTTTTAGTACTCTTGATAACATCTAGCCAGCTAAATTAGGTGAGATTGAATAAAACACAATGCTTGGTAACAACAAACTTACCTGTTTATTAAGAGATAAACACAAACTGGACAAAATTATGAATAGCAATCTGAAATTGCACAGTGAACAGTAAAACCGTAAACAGTTAAAGGTGCAAGTATTACTGTAAGTTTTAATAAAAATGCAAAACAGGGAAACACTGGCGCAAAATAGTGGAATGGATAGTTTCAATTGGCGAAACTGGAAAATACGGACCGGATTTTTTTTTAAAAACTGGATCGGCAGTCTGGATCGGCATTTTACATGCTTTGCCGATACGCATTTTTTTGCCAATATCGGCGTCCCGATCCGATCCACGTATCGGATCGGGACGCCGATCGACGGATCGACGCTACGGAAGCCGGCAGACCAAACCAGATGAAAGTGCGCATTCAGCGTCTGCTCTGCCGATAATGCAAGCGTAGAAGAAGAAATGTGCTGTTTACCTGTGCAAAGAAAGAAACAACGAAAGAAAAATGTCTGAGGACTTCAGTGTTGAGGAAGAGCATGAGTTCTTTGCCAAGCTGAATGCGCACTTTCATCTGGTTTGGTCTGCTGCGGTTTCCGTAGCGTCGTGAACTCGCAGGCGCGCGCTTTTAGGAAATCCTATACACTACTGTTTATGCTCTAAAAACATTCTAAATGACTTCGTTTCGAGTAAATTCTGGATGCTACCCACTCAGGACACTTGGAATACATTGGACGAGCAGTATGGAGGAATATTGACACGTTTTTTGTGGACTTTTATGGACCTTTCTGCCTCGGGCGCCATAGACCTCCATTATTTGAATGTCAGCAGACAGCAAGAAGCCTCCCAGATCTCCAGATGCATTTGAGATATCAAAAAAGTACTCCAGAGTGTTGTTCAGCATGGGGGTGAGTAGAAAATGAAGGCTAATCATGTTTTGGGTGTACTATTCCTTTAAAACATTCATCAAAGATGAAAGAAAAAGTTGAATTCAGTAGTTGAGAAGAGTTTTGGGCTGGACAGTGGAGGAATGGGTAGCACTGTTGCTTTGCATCAAGAAGGTTCTGGGTTCAATTCCCGGCATGGGGTCCTTCTGCATGGAGTTTGCATGTTCTCCCTGAGCATGATTGGGTTCTCTCTGGGTACTCTGGCTTCCTCCCACAGTAAAAAAAACATGACTGTTAGGTTAAAGCTACAGTGTGTAATAATTACAGGGATATACAGTCAGAAATGTAATATATTGTACATAACTATGTTATTTATCATCATCTACGAGCTCAGCCTCTTAACCTTAATATTTGCGTTGCCTTAGAATTCGTTATTTATAATTACATAGGAGCGGGTCTCGCAGCCATGGCGCTACGGCAGCGCAGAGCCAACAAACTAGCGATTGCGAGATCGCCCATTACGCTCGAAAGTAACTACGGCAAGTTGAGAGAGATGAACTGAGACGGTACTGAACAATAGATACTAAATACTACTATAGATACTAATAAATACTATCTGTAAAATTATCTATGTAAACAAACCTCATCACTTGAGAAGGTAGGTGATGCGGACGTCGTGGAAGACATTTTGTCCCGTAACGCTCGCCGTACTGTTGGGGGGGAGAAGCGGTGGGGGGGGAGATGTTCATGTTGCTGCGGTCTGCAGTCTGGACGTTAGATGTCGCTGAAAATTACACACTTAAGCTTTAATTGGCTTCTCTAAATTCTCCTTAGGTGTGAATGGTTGTTTGTCTCTGTGTTGCCCTGCGATAGACTGGCGACCTGTCCAGGGTGGACCCCGCCTCTTGCCCATTGACTGCTAGAGATAGGCACCGGCAACCTGAGCAGGGATTAATCAGAAGAGTTTTCCTAATTTAAAGCTAATTTCAGGCTTCTAAGCTATTTGGGGACTTAAACCTAACACACAATTGGACACATAAATCTTTTGGCTGGCATCCATCAGGAGACCATTTAGGTTGTAGTTAGTCATAATGCACCACACTTAGTACCGCTGTGATATATTATCCTAGGATGTTCTTCAATAGAAATAATTTCAAATACTTCTCACAGTGCCCCCAAGTGGTAGCAGACAGCTACAACAAGCACGTCTACAAAGCTACGTGAAATGAGAGAAAGTGACATCATATCATGTAGCAGTTTAGCAAAATAAAATCTTCTTTGAGCATCTGAGTCAAATGTTGGACCTACTATGTTTTTTGATTGTTTTATATTAAATAGTGTTTCTTGACTGTCTCTTTCTTTCACAGATTGGTCTGTGAGGCTTCTTTTAATGATCCGAAAAGCTGTTATAAAAGCCTGAGTCAATTTAAGTCCTAGCAATGAGTCAAAAGTATCAGGAAGACGCTATTGGGGAAGCAGACGAGGAGCAGATGGAAGCTGCTGCGCCTCAGAGGATCAGGCAGTCCAATGGAACCAACGGAGAGCCGCCTGTACGTCGGTCCTGGAGGCCGTGTCAGATGCAAAACCCTGATGGGGAAATGGCTCCTCACAACCACCACCGCCATTATCATCACGCGGCACATCACCACCACCACCCTCAAGGTCGCGGACCTCCTCGCCACCGCCGACGGCCTCCGTCAGGCCAAGGCCAGAGCCCAGGCCAGGCTGTCAGTCCTGGTGGGGCCCCAACCAGGTCACCAGAAGAGATTGAGACTCAGGATCATGAACCCCGACCTGTCCAACAACACCGCCCTGCCGTAACCCGCTATCGCCGTCATGGTGACCCAAACCCCCGGCTTAGAAATCACAGACAGCGGCAGCAGTTTAGAGAAATGCAGGACGGTCGGCCAGGCATTGGCCCTGTAGAAATACGAGAGCAGGAAGCCTCCTTAGGTGATCCTGCATTGAACCAATCACAGGAGAGAGGATCTCCCCATCAGACACCACTTCCTGTTGTTTCATCTGCCCACATTTCTACTTCCCTACCAATGGAGGATGTGCAGATTGAGTCTCAACATACTCCGGCTGAAGCTGAAGAAGACCACCATGAGTTCAAAGCAGAGGACGAAAAGGAATCTAAGGAAGTCATAGATAAGAGAGAACAAGAAGAGGATGATGGAAACTTACAGCTATCAGCAGGAAACCCAACTTGTACCCACAGTGAAAGAGCAGAAGAAGAGATTGAAAGGGTGGAGGAGGACCGAGAGGATGTCATGGAGAACGCAGAGGAGGATCCTACAGCTCAGGGAAGTGAAATTACAGATCTTTGCTCAGACACAGAGAGCGCTGCCTCGCTCAGTATGGATGGACCTCTCCACAGCCCGCCTCCCTTACAGTCACCAACTCCTCCCTCCTCCCCTGACGTCCCGCCTTTTCCCCAACTGGACCACTTCAGTGAGGATATCACCATGAGCTCGTTACCTGACAACAACGCTTTACCTGAGGAAGAGGATTGTTCTGAATCCTGCTCACTGTCTCACTCTACTTCTTGCTCTGAGCTTCATCCTAAAACCTATGCAGAATTTTACACAGAGTCCCACAAGAAAACCTACGAGCCCACCTTTGAGTTGTACTCAGAGGCAAAATGTCATCCAGACTCTTTTCCTGAGCCTCTAAAGACCTCATACCCTGAGCTGCAGCGAGAAGCTTGTAGGCAATCTGGTCGAAGACCTGAGTCTAACAAGGCCCAGCAAGAGTCCCCGCAGGAACCCTTTGTTGGACATAGAACCAAGAATGCTCAAAAAGGGGCTCCATCTTCCCCCACTGAGAGTTCCCACCAGATCTCACGGCAGAGTAGAGACCGTGGGTCGCGTTCCTTCCCTGCCGACAGCTCCGTCGGTTGCCGGCTCCATCATTATGATGGACAGTCAGACAGCGAGGGAGACAGTGCTGATAAAAGCCCTCTTCCCAAGACTGGTAGGCCAGCATCTAGACAGCCACAGACCCAAACTAAGACCCAGTCAGCTGGTTTGGGTGAAGCCCAGAATGAGCGGAACATGCCCGGTCTCCAAGGGGAGGGTACAAAGTGCTCGGGTGACGCCATCAGCCTGGCAATTAAAGACATTAAAGAGGCTATTGAGGGCGTGAAGACAAAGACGGTGCGTTCTCCCTACACACCAGACCAACCAGTGGAGCCAATTTGGGTGATGAGACAGGAGATCAGCCCAACAGAGGACGCATACCCAATGCCAACGTCCGCTGGCCACGTTAGTATGACTTAACTATTTCCTACCGCATCAATTTGTTTTCAGTTTCACATAGTTTGTGTATTTTAATCTGAATCAGATGATGTGTCATGTAAATGTTTCATCTGGTAGGGTGACTGCAGGTGAACTAGAACATATGCCTAGAAATGTGAGAACATTCTGTGTTCCAAGCTAGTCAAAAAAAGCTATTCTTAAAAGTCGTTTCCTGTGTATAATTTCATGCAAAATGCCACAGTAAGTATATCATAGGTGCTGGTGAAGATTCTCATTCATCCAGGTCATAGTCATTCCATAAAAAGAAAAGTAAAAACAATCCACTGGGCTTGGTTTCCAAGTTTGAAGATGTTTTGCTTCCCATCCAGGACGTTTTTTTCAATTCAATATGTCAGGAATATTGTTGAGTTTCAGGCTTATCGAGTGGCACAAACAAAAGCCTTGTTATGGCTTAGGAAATATGCAGATTGAACCGAAAAAAACAGGCCCACCTCTTCGTAATGGGAAGTAGAGTAGCCCAACAAAAGCCTTGTTTTTGTTTTGATAACATGCAAATTGTAACGGACAAAGGGGTCCAATCATTTGGAATGGGGGTGGTTTGGCTTCTTTTGTTAGCCTGCAATGCCCTATACCCGTCTAATTGTCTGAAATTGGGGTCGTTAAAGGGGACTGTTGGCCTTGCTGAATAGGCGCGGTCCTCCGCTCTGCTGTACAGGGGCCGGGGCTGCGATGATAGCGAGAAGGGACTAACTCAATTGCTCTATTGTAGGTTTTTGAAAGTTGGAACCTGAGTCCATCCCCTCTGTTTAAGGATGTTTTTTCTTTTTTAGCATAGATGGCTTCCTTCACGCGCCTTTCAAATCACCTATTTTCTTTGTCCAAAATGTAAAGATTCTGGTCCTCAAAAGAACGTTCTTTGTCCATAAGGTGTAGATGTACCGCAGATTAACCCGAGCATTCTTCAATGCAGTGAGGACTTTTGTTTCCTCTGATCGTTATGTTAGAGAAACCAAACAACCTCTCCACAGACGCATGGCCCAACACAGAAGAGCGACCTCCTCGGGACAAGACCATGCGGTTCATCTACACCTTTTGAGGACCAGAATGTTCACATTTTGGATAAAGAAAATAGGTGGTTTGAGAGGGACGTAAAGGAAGCCATCTATGTTAAGAGAGAAAAACCAACCTTAAACAGAGGGGGTGGACTCAGATATCAGCTTTCAAAAACCTACAATGCAGTAATTGAGTTAATCCCTTCCCGCTACCTGTGGCCAAACGACCCCCATTCAAAATTTCCATTTTTTCTAACTAAAAACAAGACTTTTTTGGGCTACTGTATAAAACGTCGAACTTGGCGTTATTCCTGACATTTTGAATTGGAAAAGCTTCCTGGATGGGAAGCGAAATATCTTCAAACTTGGAAACAAAGTCCAGTGGATTGTTTTTACTTTTCTTTTTTTGATATATCGTAGGTGTTTTTAAAATGGAAATGTAATGTTTGCTGTATGAAGAAGATGTGCGTTCAATTTCATTTAGTCCCACTAAGCAAAGAATACCTGGCTACTGGAAGGCGATTGGTTCAAGCTTTACTTTTCCATTATTGTTGCTGGCAAAGAACACATTTCATAATATCAATTAAAAAAACTGGAGATGCACAGATCAGGATTTAGGGAGCCGATCCCAGATCAGCAAAATCAGTATCTGCTAATCCTAATATTGCCGCTCACAGCATTAAATTCATAAACTCTTCAATACTTTTCTGTCATGTAAATTGAATTTGTATTAATAAGTATAAAATTTCTTCCTCCTATTTTTCTCGCAGACTTCTCCCCACTCTCCGTCTCAGTCAGCTTTGGAGTCTCCGTCCCGTTACACCTCAGTGCCTGTGCGGGACAGTGTCAGTCCTCTGAGGGCCGAGACATCCAGAAACCTGCAGCACGGTCCGACACAGCAGCCTCACCACAACCATCACGGCTACCAGTCACAGTCAAGGCCACCGCAGATGTACACGCCTACGACGCCGACTCAGTCGCAACCGAGCCAGCGTCTGACGCATCCGCAGAGTCCAGAGCAGCCTTCTGCTCAAGCTCAGCCATCTTCACCCCTTCAGAAGGCTTCCATCCAGGAAGTGAGACATTAGCCCGCATTTTTCATTATTTGAATTCATATATTGGAAAATAGTTCAATACGACCAATTTATTAATAGACAAATATTTATTTAAAACCTAAAATTAGAAATTAAACTTTGATTATGATTTTTTCTTTTAGATCAAACGTTCTTTGTTGATCCTGAAGGGAAACTGACTGTTTATACACAGTAAATTTAAGTAAAATAAAATCTGCAAATGCTAGATGAATACATTTATTTTATTTTTTTTACATAAATGCTTACATATTATCATTAAATGTGAAATTGATTCAATTAAATGTTTATTATTGTATAAAATAAATGTAATTATTTGAGATATATTTCATTATAAAATATTTGTAAATAAAAATGATCATAATGAAAGGATTTAAAGAATTTAGACTTAGTTTAACAAAATGTTTTAAATTCCATTTAACTAATTATCTTTGTTAATAGTTATAGAGAATTTAGTTTTACGATATTTATTAATATGTTGTTTGGTATTTTAATTAAAAGTGTATACATTAAATTAAAAAAGTTAATTTTTATGTTAATATTTCATACCTGGTCGTTATTTGTGATAAATAAAAAATGCATATGAATGACATAAATATATATGTACAAAATAATGCAATAGTCAAAAATAACTACAATGTGAATAGAATTTATTTTAAATAATTTTATATTTGAAGCTTATATAATTATGCATGTGTTGAATTTACAAGGAGTTTATTTTATTAGTTAATATTAGAATTAAAACTTAAAATAAATGAATTAAACATATAACCTTTCAAAATAAATTATAAAAATGTTTATATAATGACTCACATTATTATATTTTAAACAATACTTCCTAAATTGTATTTAATTTCGTGTTTAATATTTTTTAGGAGAAAAAATTTAAGTAGGTTTTGACATTACATAGTAATATAAAAAATAAAATTTCTGGGTGATGACTCCTTTTACTAAATGGAAAAGGCAAAAGAGATTTGTGAAAAATGTGTTTCATTTGTTGTCCTGCATTACAGGATGTCAGATATTTAATTCTATTAGATGCAGATTTGCTTAAAGGTACCATCATGCTCCTTCAATAATATTTTCCAGGTGTAGATTTCCTGAACTGTAAAGATAAACCTTCAGAACAGCAGAAAGTTGTGCACAAAATGAGCTTTTATAAGCGGAGAATCTTTAATCTAGGCTGGATGTATCAGCAAAGATCTTTGGTGTGAGACGAGACGTGACCAGGATGCTTTGTGTTTTTGTGATTTCTCAGATTCGCCGAGCTCTCCCTCCATTTCCCACATTTGTGGACGGTGAGTAAAACAAGCGCCTACGTTCATCTGCTCTTGTTGAGCCTTTGAAATGGGAATTTTCTCTGTTGCTTTTGAAAAATGACAAGTTTTTCAGTATATAAAGTTACTAAGGACTTAAAGGTTAAAGACAGTTAGATATCCTTATCTTCTTTTTTTCTGTCTGGGTTCGTTGACGAAGTAGATGTCACCAGTTTCATATCCACACAATTACATAGAAAACTGTTTTCTAGATTTGCACCTTACCGACCCTTGGATTTTCTGTGGTAACCTCTAACCCCAAACCCCCCAAAACACATCATACAGTATATGAGAGTACTTGCAAACCTCTCTACAGGATCCATATTATTTAAAGCAGTCATAACCAGTTTATTTACATTACCCTTTATAATATGTCTTTAAATTGATGTTTGATCATTTTTAAGACATAGAAAATTAAATAGAGCTCATAGGGGCTCAGGCTCTCTTACCCAGATGCACCACAGAGCGCCACAGGAAATCATTCCTACCTGTGGTCATCAATCTCTATAACGCCTCCCTCAAGTGATTCAGACCCCCCCGTAATTGACATTTATGCACTATTTTTGCACGCTACGTATCACTTTACTTGGATTTATCACTTTACTTGGATTTTCACTTTACTTGGATTTAGTTTTTACATATGCATATAAATATACATACATATATATATACAGAAGAGCTATATGTGTATATATTTTATCTCTTTTTTATTTCTATCTTTATTATATTGTGTAGTTGGCTATATGTATATATATATAAAACTGTAACTGGGCATGTAACAAAAGTAATTTCCCTCTGGGATTATTAAAGTATTTCTGATTCTGATTCTGAAAGGGCTTCAGCAGTGAATTCTGACTGTGTGGCGTGGTGCGTCTTGAAGCAATTTAAACATCAGATGTGGCACATTTTAAATTTATAGGTGTTTAAGTGTCAAGCACATCCAAAATGGCAGAGTGAGTACATTTTGGAGCGTTGGGCCTACTGTTGGAGAAGCTGATCAGGAAGCTGGATGACACTGCTTCAGAGCTGTGATCTCTCCTCCTGCAGAGCTGTCAGCCTAAATCATGAAAAAAGTGAGAGTGATAATTAGCACTCTAATAGAATATTTTGTTAATCAACTGCGGAGAAACAGTTCATAATTTATACATAAATTAACTAATTGATTAATTGATTAGATTTTGTATTTTTCCTCTTTTTCCTACATACCTAAAACTTGATGAGGGAAATCCCCAAGGGTTGACCAGTTCCAGAGAGCTGTTCCTGCGGATTCCCGGTGTAGGTACCAGATCTGCTCGGGCCCTGCGCATGCCGGTGACGTTGCGCTACATGATCGGCTGAACGTTGCCACATGATGTAAAACATTGTGGTTGCCCAGACAACGTTTATAACATCAAGCAGCATCTGTGTGCCGAGTCGGGAGCATCTGTAGTGTTAGCGTGTCTAATGACCGATGAAGTTTTACCTGATCGATAACAAAACTGAAAGAAATCTGTTTATGGTGAACAAAGTAACTGCAAGACCATAAAATAAAGGGGGAGAGCTGGGTAGCTCTGTGGCTAGCTGTGCTCACTAGCTAACAGGTTAGCCTATTTTAGCTCGGTCACTTAGCCATATTAAAGGCATACTATGCAACATTTTTCAGGTAATTAATGTGTTTCATAACATTTTGGATGATTAAATGAGTCATTTCAGGTCGAACAAAGGTTTTCTCGGCCGCCCTGGTGGTCTGTAGGGGAAATACCGTACTTGCAATCGCAGGAGCCCTCGGCCCGCACCCACAGGCTCAGAAGTCTCGTGCATCGCAAGAAATGGTCTTGCTTTACGGCGAGAACTGCTACACGCCCCCAGTGAAAGGCATGCTCGTTGCTAGCGCAGTGGCGATATTTGTGCAGTTATCATGGCGGAACCAGCAAGAATTTTCAAACTCGAAAATTGGAACAAAATAGTCACTTACCGCAGTAGACATGGTGATTCGTTGCTTTCTCCTGTCTGCTAAGCTCAAAACAACCGCGCCTGGCTTTACGGAGAAACCAGGAGAACAGCTGAGCATATTTACGACAGTGCACTTTTACTTTTGCCCTCTGGGGGGAGCCTCGCTGGAAAATCAACACCGGTTGCATAGTATACCTTTAAGCTACATTACTATTAAATTTGTGTCAGCAACCGTTAGTTTTCTACAAGTAGAATAACTGTTGCTTTATTTGTCTAAAATCTCTACAAAAGTTGTTTTTTAAGATGTCCCATTTGTCCTCCCCTGCCCTCAGATCTTAATAATAAGAATAAAAATAAGCTGAGACTTCTTTTTTCACCTTAGTAAATGGTAGCGCTCAGTCTTAGAACGCCGGACTTTCCTTCAAGACTGACAGTGATTGTTTTCTACTTTCGGCTGCTTTAGATCACCAATGAAATGTAAAATAATAGCAAATATGGGTAATAATATGTTAACGCACCAAAAGAGAGGGTGCAATATAGTTTGTCCGAGAGGAGTTGCCATACAATGATGTCATAAAAAGGGGCAGGGCCTCGAGCAGATCTGGTATCTACACCAGTTCTACCACCTGTCTGTATGCAGGGTCTGCTAGTCGGAACAAAAAAAGAGCTGTACGCTAAAAAAAACAAACACCACTTTTATTTTACACACTATTCAAAGCAAATAAAGCCAAGCTGATCGCTTGATTGCTCTTGCTTTTGTACAGAATAGAAACTGACATCTGACTCCAATGCTTGATGTTCCTTGCATCAGCCACAGTAAGCTGTGAAGAAAAGCATGTTTATTTAACAGGACTTTTTATAGCATTTCTAAAATCAAAGCTGCATGTAGTGGCTGCAACTGTAAAGGGAACAAATTAAAAGTGGAGTTTGCATTTAGAAAGTAAAGTTTAACACTTTTTTCATTGGAATGCTGTTCACACAGATGGGAGGTACCCTGAACGCACCATAAGGACACTCCTAACATTTAGCCAGGACATCTGAAATAAATCCTCAGAATAAAGAAAAGGCTTAGGAAATAAATTAAAATCATTTTTGATTCTTGCAGTCCCTGGACCGTGTGACCCTGAAGACCTCATTGATGGGATCATATTTGCAGCAACCTACCTTGGCTGCACCCACCTGCTTTCAGAGAGAACGCCCACAAAGAGCGCCCGTATGCAGCAGGCCCAGGAGGCCATGAGCAGAGTCCGGGTGAGAGGTTAAAAGGATTATTTTACCTTAGATGAGGAAAATAAGAAGTATAAAATGTTTTCTTGTTATTTAACACCATGTTCTTTACTGACATATACATTTCCGTGGATTAGTATATCATCAGTATTAGTTTATAAGTGTAAGTTATCCTAAAAAGTGAAACTGTTGAAACTGAATACATGATACAGAACAAAAACTATTTTTATTATTTGGTATTTATTGTTCTTCTAGATCCATATGAAACGGGTAAAAACTTTCTGGGTTTCCCAATAACCCAGGGGTCTGTAACCTTTAAATCTAATCAAGACATTTTCACCATTAATCCAGCAGAAACATAAATAAATTAGCTTAAGTGTCATGATTGGTTTAACAAATCTAACCCACATGAAGAGAAACCAGTCAGAGAGCACGGAAAAAGTTTAACAGGTTTATTGAAGGAGTTACAGGAGTAGATCTGGAACTCAGTGAGCCGATAACCCGGAACTGGAAGTCAGAAGGGAAGTTCAACGGTCAGTTCAGGTTCTGAGGGAATCTTGGAAGCTCTGGTATTTAGCGTGGTTGGAAACTTTGTGGGGGGCCTTGTTAGTCCTTGAATCCAGACTGTGTGGTGAAGCCAGAGTTAGGTGCACACGTTGGAGGGCGGACAGGTTGACTAGCGTTGAACCCGGAGGAGTAATGGAGCGGACTGTCACTTGGATTTCAGAGTGGGACTTGAACAGAACATGTGGAGGTTTCCCCTTGCTCAGTGTAACTCGGTTTATCCTTCCGGGGGAGAGAAGGTCAAGGTATCCAGCAACACAGGAAAGCTTCCTGCCGGGGAGCAAAGACAAAAACAAGTTAGACTAAACTAAACTCAGCTTGGTTAGAGTACCCAAAACTGGCAAACACTCTGGCATCGAGGTGGTGACAGTCCACTGCTCAAATACTCCTCCAGATAATGATCCAATGAGCTGCAGGTGTGCAGGGAGGGAAAGCAAAGACAGGCACCTCCTGGTGTTGAAAAACAGAGACACACAAACAGACCACACAAACTGGATTCCTAACATGAAGATGTTAATGTTTTATGACCTTTTTAAAAATTATAGCCTTATAATTTTAAATACGGATAAATATATATACGGGAATTTTCATGAACAAAAAGAGGATGCATATATTTTCTTTTACTGGATTTAGACATTTGTAGAAGTGTATTAAAAAACACATACTTTCCCAATAAGATAAATGATTATAAAATGTATTGACCTTTTTAGTGTGAAGTTTGGACATTTATTGTTGCAAGCAAAGAACAGCTTTCCTTCCTGGAAATTATATAATAAATTTAAATTTAGTTTAAAGATATTTTTGTAAAATTCTCCCAATATATCAGCTGATTGGTAAAACCACCAGTAGTGGGAAGTACCATAGTAAATTTTTGTGACTTTGTGTCTTTGTTTGTCTTTGAGACAAGAACAACTTTAGTTGGTATTTACCCCATAATAAAGGTATATATGCAGGTAACTACTTGCATGTAATGATTACAATTGTTAGGTTACAGCATGAGAGTTTCTATTATTCGCCACTATCATGATCTTATCTAAAGTTCGGACCCACATGCAGAGAAACCAATTCAGAGAGACCAGGGGAAAGGTTAACAGGTTTTATTGAAGAAGTAAAACAAGGGGAGAAGTGTTGCTCTGAACACGGCTCAACCGGAACTGCAAAGTGAAGGGAAGGCACAGCGGTTAGTTCAGGCTCAGTGGGGAATTTGACTCGTCAAACTTGGAGAAAAGGTTTTGGTTGCCAACACACGTTTCCAGAGAAGTTGTTGTATCCTTGACTCCTGTCTGTGTGCCGTGGTTGCCGTGTTTGTCCAGAAAATGGTTGACTCTATGACTCCAGTTGGTGTGGGGGTGTTCCAGTGTTTGTCTCTTTCGATGGAGGGAGGACAGGACCCAGAATGCGGTTGTTTAAAGGTGAACGGAGAAGCTGACTGCCACTTAGATTTCCTGCGGTACTTGAACTGGTTGTTGTGGAGATGAATCCCTTACTCAGTGTGAAGCTCAAACAATCGCTTGGGGAAAGGTCGATCCAAACCTCCAGTTTAAATCCTCAGCTCAGTTTGAAGCTCAGTTGATCCTTCCAGGGTGTGAAGATCCGAGAGATCCAGTTAGCAGGACAACTTCCTGCCAAGAGGCAAAGAAAAAAAACAAAGTTAAACTCAGGTTGACAAAAACTCAGCTTGACTCAGCAAACACAGCATGGCTAGAGTACCCAAAATTGGCAAACACTCTGGCGTCGAAGTAGTGGCAGTCAGCAGCTTAAGAACACTCCGATAACGAGGAAACAATCAGCAGGTGTCTTTACTTGAGTCATATTTTTTGTTTTTATTGTGCTTTCTTCTCCACTACGTTTTGTGGAAGCTGGAGTTCCTTTTTCCATTTGGCTTAGCTTTGTAATCTGCTGTTGCTGTTTTTTCTCTCTTGAAATGCAATTTCATCACAGCAGGTGGCAGAAGCAGAGCAGATATTTGTAGTTTTTAAATTTGATCAAGGCGTTAGTTGTTGCCATGTTGCCAAGTTGTTCAGTAGGATGAATTCTCAAATCAGAGTTGTAGTTTCTTTGAGGTCATAGATTCAACCTTTAACCTCTATTTCATAGTTGAAAGTGTGAGGAGAATAAAGACTCTTTTTTCTTTTTAGTTTGTTTTTAAATGAGAAAAAAAAATTGTGGCATTTTAATACTAGCCTGACGTAGTCCTACTCAATTCTAGTCAGAATATGAGTCTGATACTGCTCCATAGAGCTGTGATTATGGGGCGTGTTTCTAACGAACCAGGAAAAAAAATGCCTCTGCACTCAATTGGATAGACCTACAACCAATAAGAGCAACGGAGTGCGTGACGTATGTTAAGCCAGGCACAGTTGTTGTCAACAAAAATCAAAGCGTGCAGTTGCACGCCTAGAATAAGAAGATGAGCCTTGATCGCGTTTCTCTGTTCCTCTTTTAAAATTTATTTGCTGTCGATATCTTCTAGAACAGACCTAATAGCAGAATCTACACACCTCAACTCTCCAGCGGCAGCCATTGTTGTTGTCACCCAAGCGCGCTTGGTGACGTGGTAGATTGCGTTACTGTTGATCATCTGTCCATCATCGTATAAAGCCCGCCCTGACAATTTGATTGGCCCGCCAGATGTTGTGCTAGCATACTCGCGCTACTATTGAGCAATGCCAGACCGAACTTCCCGACCTCAAACGTTGTGGGCGGGACTAAGTTCGGAATGGCACCCAGGCTATTTTAATACTGAAGTTCTTAACAGAATTGGTATTAGAGCGGTTCTACGCGTCACTACATCAGATAGTTTCTGAAAGTTACAAGGTTCTTTATAATTACTCTGAAAGTTATACAGAAATTTAATTATTTTCGAAGATTTAATTTGTATTTTTGAGTATTTTCAAAAGTGTGTACCTCAATACTTTAACCTCTCTAATGCGTTTAAAATGATAACTCAGAATGCATGAAAATTACACCAGTAAAATGTTTACCAATATAGACATGATAGACATCGTTGGAAAGCTTAGATTCTCCACAATTCAACCACCTAGTTAATTTTATGGACACAGCGATCACCAAAGCACAATTATAGCAGCATGTTGAAATTAGCATGACAACGCAGCCACAACAAGTACGCGTGTCTTTATAGCTGCTGTTCAAAAAAAGATTTATTTTCAAGAATAAAAAAACAACAACTTGAGTCTTGTTTGAGCTTGGGTGTTTTATTTACCCAATTTTCATGCATATATTCAGAAACTAGAAGGTGTTAGCTTTCAAATAACGAATCACATGTATTTTGGGCGTACAGTTTCTACGTTATTTGCTTTTCCATTTGGTAAAGCAAAAATAGGTGAGAATTTCCCAAAATTAGGTGGATATTAGGAGGTTTGAATGAGTGACTTTCTTGTAGTTGTGTAAGATTTGACTAGAGTAATCAATACTTTTACTCAAGTACTACTGCTGAGTACTTCATCCATCAAACAGCTGACTGGACAGTTATCCAGCAAACACCATCTACAGGGAGAGGAAGCCCAAAAAATGGCAGCACTAAACAACATGGCCGTTAACAGACCACCTTATTAATGAATATTAATGGGAAGTTTAGTGAAAGGAAAATCAGTGCAGTAAAAACAAGTGAAAAAGTTTTATTTTTTTTTTTTTTACAGTTTTAAGTAGAGTATGGAAGTAAATGGATGATATATGTATTTATCGGGGATTCCTAGAAGCTACAGTTTTGTAAATGAAAGGCTTTTATTGGTGCAGCATAGTCAGACACTATTTTTGTCCTTCTAAACCCATTATGAGTGATGTGACTAAAAGTCACTTCATGTTGCTCTTATTTAAACCTAAAGCTCTGAGCAGGCGATGCAGCCAGTGGCTTTGTGCGGCAGGACTATTTACGGATCACTGCATCCTACTCAGTCATCCAGGCTCTTTCTTCTGGGCCCTTCGGCGCCTCAGAGACCTGACAGCACATCTTCTCCTCCGGTCACAGTCTATGATGTCAGACACACCTAACGCAGTCAGAGAGGCTTTTAACTTCATTCTATGCTTGCATGAAAACCGGGTATCAGACATGAACCACTAGGATGTCTTGTTTTTTGTTTTTTTCTGTTTGTAATGCCATCCACAGCGTGAAGATTATTTCTTTAGACCAGGGTGTCTTTGAGGAGCTGCATGAATGAGATGGTGAGGCAGGGTGAAGTGAAGGAGAAGTGCTGGAGGACAGAGTGGAGAAAGTCAATAATAGGAAGACTTTTATATGTTTTTTTTTTTTTCTGTGAATCTCTATAAGCAGCTCCTCCATTAGCATTCCCCTGTGCTCCCTCCGCAGATTGTGCTCGTTTTGCAGACTGTGCAGTAAGCCTGGGTTATTTCTTGGAAGAGCGTTGCCAGCTGTAGAGAACTATCAAATCTGAAGAGACATGGTTATATGGAATGCAAATGTTTGCTGTTGCAATGTCAGAGAAAATGTTATTATTAATATGAAGTCAGAATTCTGCCAAAAGTGCAGATATGTAAAAAAAATACTGATACAAGCAGTTTTATTCAAAACACATGCGTGTCCAGTAGCAGCCATTCAAAATGGCCCTTCCCAGTCAAACGCCAGCGGAATGGCAGCCGAACTTCCCTCCAACTCCCAGCCACTGGAGTGACCCCCCTGCATATTATTTTACCCTGACTCCACCCTTTCACTGAGTTACAGGGTCCGACCAGGAGATGGCGCTTCTCTTTAGATCCTAATGTCCACAAATCATGACAAAAACAATATTTTAGTACAAAGATTGATGTTTAAAAAGGAATTGTAGGGGACCAGCCAAGGACCCATTAAGGAAAGTCGGTAAATTTTTTGCATTTGCATTTTGATAACGATTTAATATTATGAGACCATTTTTTTTGGGTGGAAAATGTATTCCTTTGTGGAAAATAATCTTTTTTTTTGCTCTACAATGACCACGATTCTCAGCTGGAAACTGATCAACATCATGAAACTAATTGATTGAAATAAGCTGGATTAATTCAGCCATGAAGAAAAACCCAAACAGAACTATGATCGATGGTCAAGGTGCAACCTGTTAAGGGACCTAGAACCAAATATTGTATATTAACATTGTATACATCTGAACCTTGGTGTATAATCTGTCATGATTTTATCAAGAGCTCGGACCCACATGCAGAATACCAATCCAGAGAGACCAGGGGAAAGTTTTACAGGTTTATTGAGAAGCTTGTGGAGATTCCAGTGTTGCTTGTGTTGCTCTGAACACTGCTAAACCGAACTGAAAAGTGAGAGGAAGACACTGCGGGTAGTTCAGGTTAAGTGGGAAAATTGATTCTCTAACTTGAAGAGGAGAAATAGATTGCAGACTCATGTTTCCAGAAAATGGTTTACTCTATGACTCCAGTCGGTGTGGGGGTGTTCCAGTGTTTGTCTCTTTCGATGGAGGGCGGACAGGGTTTACCCAGAATGCGGTTGTTTAAAGGTGAACGGAGAAGCTGACTGCCACTTAGATTTCCTGCAGTACTTAAACGGGTTGTTGTGGAGATGAATCCCTTACTCAGTGTGAAGCTCAAACAATCCCTTGGGGAAAGGTCGATCCAAACTTCAAGTTTGAATCCCCAGCTCAGTTTGAAGCTCAGATGATCCTTCCAGGGAGAGAAGGTCTAAAAATGCAGTTTGCAGAATGACTTCCTGCCGAGAGGCAAAGACAAAAAACAAGGTTAAGACTCAGGTTGACAAAAGCTCAGCTTGACTCAGCAAAACTCAGCTTGGCTAGAGTACCCAAAACTGGCAAACACTCTGGCGTCGAGGTAGTGGCAGTCAGCAGCTTAAGAGCACTCCGTTAATGAGGTAACCCTCAGCAGGTGTGTGAGGAGGCGGACCAGGGCCAGGCGCCGCCTGGTGGAGGAAGGGAGACAAACACACACAAACCACACAGACAGGTGTCCTAACATAATCCAGGTATCGATTAGAGAAAACCCAAATTGATGTTAAACATTTGCTACTAATTCTTGTTTTAAAAATCCAATCCTTTTCAATGTTTCTGCTGATTAACTGCAGAGATTTCTGGGTTAATTTTGGCACCTCCTGACTCTGCTGGCCGTGGTGAGACGACAGCATCACACATGCGGTCTCTTTCTATCTCCAGGCTGCTTTGTGTCACACTGATGCACAGAAAACCTCTGACGATGTCGGCCACAGAGGCCGCCGGCGTCCTGCTGCTGTCAAACATTTTCAGACTACAACATCGCTGACCTCCCACATACGGGAGGACACCGAGAATTATTTGGCATTTGGAATCGAGACAGTCTGCAGAGGATTGGGGGACTGCGTTTTTTCATTTGTCTCTTTGACCTGAAACTATTATTCCATCTTTTTCTGAGGATGTTTTTTGCTTTCTGATCCCTGCAGGCGGCTCAGAAACAGGCGAAGAACAGGAAGAAGGTGAGTCATTTTGTTTTTTTGCATTTATGCCAATAAGGACTCTTCTGATGAGTAATTTGAGGTAGGTCTATAACCAGAAGCTCCTGTCTGCTTTTATTTCGATTGACACCCCACTTCCACCTCTTTTCTTTACCCTCGTGTGTCTGCAGAGTCCAGACAGTGAGACTCCGTCCACTGCTGAGGTTGACCTGTTCATGTCCACACAGAGAATCAAAGTCCTCAATGCAGACACGCAGGTAAAAAAGGCTCCTCCGGGTTAAACTGCAGATTTCAGGTCGTAGAGTGATGGAAAGGCTACAGACATAGAGCAGAAAATCAGACAAGAGCATTGCTACGGGTGTTTATTTCAAGAAGGAAACAAGGCGGAGTACTGCCGCCTTCAGTGGCTCTGAAACGGTCCACAGCCCTTTGGTGGTCGAACTTAGATCTGTTAGTTCTAACAATTGGAATGGCAGCAATTTGACATTTTAAAGTCGTATGGGAATCATATTTAAATGTCAAATCATTCTGGCTTAAACATGTATATAAATGTATTCTTTATCAGACAATATTGTCCCAAAATTCTGTCTTAAAATCTGTCTTTTATTTTCCTTATCGTATGCAGGCCAGTTAGTTCTACGTCAGCCTGAACACCTAAATTCGGCCAATCATATATCAATGGTCATCTGTCAATCAAATTTATTCGGTCATAGCTTCTTGATTCATATGTCACAGCTAATATACGATAATAATATAGAATCATTTCCTTTCCCATTGAGTTCCGTCCCAGTGTTCACGGGGATGGACGTCTGTGTCTTCAGCAGGCGTAGAGCTAACAGAACTGGCAGCGTTGCGAGGCAAGGGCTCAAACATGTACGGCTGGAAGCCTTCTACACCAAACCAAGCTTCTGCCGCCCTGGCGTCCTCTTCCACAACATCTTTGTCCCCGCTTTCCTCCTCTAAATAAAAAATGGATGACGGAGGAGACTCATCCACGACCTCCGACACTAAACTCTCCTCCTCTTGCATGTTTCCTCTGTCCATAGCGTTCCTTGACAGTGTCGTTTCTAAGTCACCAATTTAGTGCTACTTGGTCCCAATGGAATTTCCCATTGGGACCAAGTAGCACTAAGTCGCTAACTGGTTAGCAAGATGCTTCCGAGAAAACGGCCACTATCAAACTTGCTTGCGAACCTTCCGCCACGACAATCCCGCCCCCTTGATAACGGACCAATCACATTCACTATATTCACCTGTGTAAAGTCGTGCATCACTCAGGAGAATTCAGAAATGCGACGGTTGGAACGGCCGCTTCCCTACGACTTTAATGCCGGTTCTTATTGATTAGCATGTGTTTAAAAAAATTGTGTTCTTTATAACATCTACCGTATATAAAGAACAGGTCTCCCTCGAAAAAGAGATTTTATCTCAAGGGACTTTCTGGTAAAATAAAGGTTCAATAAAAAAATAAAAAATGTGTTTATCTTTGTACTTTGAATTGTATTTATACTGAATTGTGTTATATAAAAAACTTGTCTCACCTCAAACAAACAGCATGGCAATAGTTAAGTTTGCTTCCTGGTGACCAGGCTGTGAAGGGGTTTATGTTATATTGTGTTTTACTAGATTATTCATTGCTGTTATTCTGAATTAACAGAAAACAAAACTAGCAACCTTTCGTTGTCCATCTATATTTTGAAGTCTTTAGGTTGATTAAACATATGTAACATTTTCAAGCATATTCTAATCCGTTTGCAGTAGGGTATAAAGATCAACAGCTTCGGTTAAACTCGTATTACAGGTGGAAGAAGGCTTATTCAATAAAATGAACAAAAACTGATTTGAATTGAAAAAGCTTCCTGGATGGGAAGCGAAACGTCTTCAAACTTGGAAACAAAGTCCAGTGGATTTTTTTTTTTTTTTTGGGAGTCATTCACAAACACTGTAAAGCAAGGGACCAAGACAGCTGCCTTGTGGAATTCCACACACAAGCGTTTCAGTGAAAATGAACCATTGAAAGTAGCACATTTTTTTTCTGTTAATCAAATAACTATTCATGAAATGTAATGCATGACCTTTGAATCCATATGCAGATACCTTCTCAAGTATCAGTAAATGATCAACAAGAGCAAGAGCCGCACTAAAAGTCCACAAATTCAATTCCTACAGAATGTTTACTATCAATTCTGCGTATCCAGTCATCTGTAAGAACTGTACTGGTTGAATGTTCCTCTTTATAGGCATGCTGAATGTCAGAATAAGGATCATTAATTTCAAAGTAATTCTGAGTTTGTTTACACATTAGTCCCTCCATCAGTTTACTCAGGACAGGGAAGATGCTCATGGATCTGCTGTTTCGCCCACTCAGTGAGAAGCAGGTTTTGTTTTCCAGATAAAAATGTTTATTTCAGCTGTAACTGAACCATTTTTATTATTTTTAAAAGTGGTATCTAGTATGAAGTCTTAAGTAAATATATGAATATCATCGCAAAAACAATACGGTGACCATTGTGAATCTTATGTCTGACAATTAACCAAAGTATAAAAAAAAACCTAGAACTGGAATGAAGCATTATTAACAAAAAATAATAATAACATCAAACCATCTCCAAAAACAAATTCAAACAACTGAATAAGTAAAAAAAAAAAGTCTAATAACCCTGATTAAATCAAAGTAGACTAGGATGATAAATCCTGAATTAATAAAGCCATAAATGCTGAATGTTAGCCCCTCCAGGGTCCAGGCGGAGCACCGCTGGTTTTACGTCAACGGTATCGCCTTCCCTACCTCTCATCTGCTGTGATTTCTGCCCATCAGGAGGCTTTAATGGACCTTCCATTGAGGACCATCTCTTACATCGCTGACATCGGCAACATGGTGGTCCTGATGGCGAGGGGGAAGATGGTGAGGTCCCGCAGCGCTCAGGAAAACCTGGACCACGCATCAGAGCAGAGCAGCATGAACCACGACGACAGGAGGATGTACAGGATGATCTGCCACGTCTTTGAGTCTGAGGATGTGAGTTATTGGATATTGAAAGGCCTTCATTCACTTCTATTCAGTCTATTTCTATAGCGCCAAAACACAACACACGTAATTCTCAAAGTATTTTACAGTTCACCAGATCATTTAGTCAGATTGATTCAAAGTTTTCTCTGTAAGGAAAACCAGTTGATTGCATCGACTCATTGACTAGAAGACAATCCCTCACACTAAGCATGCTTGTAGCGACAGTGGAGAGGAAAAACTCCCTTTTAACAGGAAGAAACCTCCAGAAGAACCAGGATCAGTGTGAGCGGCCATCTGCTGAGGCCCACTGGGGTTCAAGGAGACAGAAGCAGAGACACAAAAAGCAGGAAGTACATTATAAACATAATGACTCAATAAAACAACGTTTCAAAGAACTAAACCAGTTTTGTATCATAATTTAACAGCTACCGTCGCTCTACCTCATTTTTTACTTCAAATTTGCTAACATTTAATATCTGAAAAGCTTAGAGTGGTAGAACTTTGACTCCGTGCAACTTGCAGATTCTTTATAAACTCAATAAAAGCTTTTACATTCTTTTGCCAATTTTTGAATTTTATATTCGTTTTATAATAAATGAGGTTTAAAGACAGTTGGTCTTAGTCTGAACACAGCTGGAATAAATGTTGCTGCATTAAACACTTTTTTTGTAATTTCCTGAAATAGCTATTTTATATGGAAAAACAAAGTGAATCAGAAGGACTGCAATTTTTTGATTTATTTCATAAAACTTGCTCAGAATTGCCAGATGTGGACGCCCATTTCTGACTCAATTTAATCCCAAAACGTCAATACTGGTTTTCACCAAAACGCCGCTTCGCCTGATGTCATTAATACAGGCAGGTTCAACTGATCAGTCACTATGCAGACAGTCGATCATCGCGTTCAGTGGGTGGTAATAGTGAAACGAAATAGTGCGCCATATTTCATTTAATTGGTGGAAAGCTATTGATGTTTAATTGAAAAATAAAAGGGAAACGCTGTTTCTTTAATAAGACAGCAGGTCATTGCTGAGGGATTAAAACTGCAAATTTTCTTCTTCTTCTTCACACAGTGGAAACATTTTAAAGCTGTTATTAGATTCTATAGTCTAATTATGAAAACGTTAAATAGACTTTTATTGTAATTTGTATAGACAGAGTGTATGCATAATGAAATTTTGTTTTGTTCAGCTTTCATACAGTGAATAAGCAGCAGCTTAGCAGCAAAATGAACGTTTTCATTTCATAAAGTGCAGCATTGATTAAAAAACATGGTGCAAATACGCATTTATATGGAAGTTTAGAGCATTTCAAGCACTAAATTATATTAGTAAAAATATAGTTAAGTATTTCTGACTGTTTTAGGTAAAGTTTTAGTCTGGAAATCAGCAGCCTGAAGTCACCCAATCCATTTTATTCTTGCCCATTTCCCGAACTGTGCCTGATCTTTTCATGACAGTCTGCACTGCAAAAACGATCTAGAAATAAGTAAAAACGTCTTAAATTAAGTGTATTTCCCCTTAATTTGAGTAGGTAAATGAGATAGTTTGCCAACAGAATGAGTATTTCTACTCTGATAAATAAGATAATTAGATAATATGCACTTGAAATTAAACAATGCTATTCTGTTTTCTTATTCTAAGTGTAAATTGCCTCGTTCCATTGGCAAGATGTCTCTTTTACTCCCTTAATCCAAGGGCAAATGCACTTATTTTAAGAAAAAAATGACTCGTCTAGATTTAGATTTTTTCCAGTGTGAACAACACGGATCAGTTTTTTTCCATTGCTAACCAGGATATTTGGCTGTGAGGTCCTGAATCCGATGCATGTCTGACATTTTCAAGTGCCACCCATGACTGGACGACCTGTTGGCATTCATCTTCTGCTTCTTCCTACATGGCAGCAAGTAGAAAAACAACAACTATGGCAGACAATGATCCTAAGAGCGTTAAAGCCAGTAAAGGTGTCATTTTATTTCTTATATAATAAAGTTTTTGTGAGGGAACCTTGTAGAAGATTTATTTATTTATTTATTTGAATGGGGACAAAGCACATTAATGAACATCAGTATAAAAACAAATGTAAATATGCCGGATTATAGCTACAAAGCTAGTTTTCATCCGTTGTACCTAGGCAGGCAAATACATAAGAAAGAACATATAACATACAATATAAGCATCACAAGGAAATGTTAAAAGATGTCACAAATAAAAACGGAGCTGTAGAAATCCCAGAAAAGAGAGGAAGTCAGCACGTTTGATCTGTTCAAGCCTTCTAAACCGAATCAAGACTGTTGATGGAAATTTATTAGAAGCTACACCTCTGGATTCAGAGGGATGCTGTTGGATTAATGAACCTTTTTAGATCCTTGAGGTTTCCGTCAGTGATGTGATGTGATGTCCGCCCTCCAGGCCCAGCTCATCGCCCAGTCCATCGGGCAGTCCTTCAGCGTGGCGTACCAGGAGTTCCTCCGGGCCAACGGCATCGACCCCGAGGACCTGAGCCAGAGGGAGTACAGCGACCTGCTCAACACTCAGGACATGTACAACGACGACCTCATCCACTTCTCCAAATCCGAGAACTGCAGAGACGTAAGCCAGCCAGCAGGGGGAGCTAAATGTATTCATTTAATCCCGTTCCTGCTTAAAGGAATAGTACACCCAAAACATGATTAGCCTTCATTTTCTACTCACCCCCACGCTGAACAACACTCTGGAGTACTTTTTTGATATCTCAAATGCATCTGGAGATCTGGGAAGCTTCTTGCTGTCTGCTGACATTCAAATAATGGAGGTCTATGGCGCCCGAGGCAGAAAGGTCCATAAAAGTCCACAAAAAACGTGTCAATATTCCTCCATACTGCTCGTCCAATGTATTCCAAGTGTCCTGAGTGGGTAGCATCCAGAATTTACTCGAAACGAAGTCATTTAGAATGTTTTTAGAGCATAAACAGTAGTGTATAGGATTTCCTGAAAGCGCGCACATGCGCGATCTCGACGCTACGGAAGCCTGCAGACCAAACCAGCGCATTCAGCTCGGCAAAGAACTCATGCTCTTCCTCAACACTGAAGTCCTCAGACATTTTTCTTTCGTTGTTTCTTTCTTTGCACAGGTAAACAGCACATTTCTTCTTCTACGCTTGCATTATCGGCAGAGCAGACGCTGAATGCGCACTTTCATCTGGTTTGGTCTGCCGGCTTCCGTAGCGTTGTGAAACGCGCAGGCGCGCGCTTTCAGGACTTTGTGGACTTTTATGGACCTTTCTGCCTCGGGCACCATAGACCTCCATTATTTGAATGTCAGCAGACAGCAAGAAGCTTCCCAGATCTCCAGATGCATTTGAGATATCAAAAAAGTACTCCAGAGTGTTGTTCAGCATGGGGGTGAGTAGAAAATGAAGGCTAATCATGTTTTGGGTGTACTATTCCTTTAAATCATAAGAATATTTTACTTTTTATTTTACATAAAACATTAGTCATCACATTTTTTTTATGATAAGGGTGTAACCAGCTTTCAATGCATGTGTTCAGTGTCATTTCTGGCCCTCTGGTTTGGAGACACAGCGTCATAAACAACCTTCCTGTTCTCAGTGGGAAGGAGAATCTTACAAACTCTGACCTGCAGCAACAAGGAAAACATCTCGTGACGTTTGCTTCCTCTTGTTTACCTGCAGGTTTACATTGAGAAGCAGAAAGGTGAGATCCTGGGGGTGGTGATCGTGGAGTCAGGATGGGGGTCCATCCTCCCCACCGTCATCATCGCCAGCCTGATGCACGGCGGCCCGGCAGAGAAGTCCGGCAGGCTCAACATCGGGGATCAAATCATGACCGTAAACGGGACGAGCCTGGTGGGTTTACCTCTCAGCACCTGTCAGAGCATCATCAAGGTAAGCCCCGCCCCCCCACTGTCGCACTCGCCTGTCACCCCAACTGATTTCCCTTTATAATTAACTTTAACAGCTGCTCAGATATTCTAGTCAGCTTTAAGCTTCTTCCTTATTAAATTAGGATGGTAGTTTCCTTTTTAACATTTTTTTGCGTTGGTATTTTATGATTCCTGCGCCCCAACAGAAAAAGAAAAAAAAAGACTGGCTCCTCTTTTAAGTTTGATCTAGAGGCATTTCTGCAGCCTGCAGGCGCAGATCCTCTCTGCGTTTGTCTTTTGCAAGGATAAACAACTCTGGATTTTGTTTTCCTCAGGGTCTGAAGTCACAGTCCAGGATCAAGATGAACATCGTCAGGTGTCCTCCAGTTACCATGGTGCTCATCCGACGGCCGGACCTCCGATATCAGCTCGGCTTCAGCGTCCAGAACGGGATCGTAAGTAAAGAAACCGGAAAAGCGATTCAGCAGAAACGGGATGCAAGGAAAAACACAGAAGCTCTAAACCAGGGGTACCTTCTACTGAGAAACAACAAAAAAACAGGGAGATTTACTCGGTAAAGCAGGAACAGCTCCGATCTATCTTTGAACCTCAGAAGAGACGCAACAAAACACAGAAAAGTCTTTTTCTTTTATGGGAAAATAAAAAAACTGAGTTTTCAGGGTTGTTAGTAGGAATATCTTAGATCTTTGTGAAAAATGATCTAGAAATAAGTAAAAAATGTCTTAAATTGAGTTGATTTACCCTTATTTTGAGTAGGTAAATGAGATAGTTTGCCAATGGGATGAGTATTTTCACTCTTAGTATTAAGATAATTAGATAATATGCAATTCAAGAAAAAATGAGGGTACTTTCTATAAAGTTATAAGGTAACAAATGTTATTTGATTTCATCAGAAAAGGGGACAGCTGAACACCTGAGTCCAGGACCAGCGGTTAGTTTCTATGGAAACAAAAGGTTTTCAAAGTTCATAGCACACTGCAAAAACAATCTAAAAATGAGTAAAAATGTCTTAAATTAAGTGTATTTACCCTTAATTTTAGTAGATAAATAAGATGATTTGCCAATGGAATGAGTATTTTTACTCTTTAAATAAGATACTTAGATAATATGCACTTGAAATAAGACAATGGAATTGTATTTTCTTATTTTAAATATAAATTGTCTTGTTTCATTGGCAAAATGTCTCTTTTATCTCCTCAATTCAAGAACAAATGAACTAATTTTAAGAAGAAATTACTTACCTAGATTTAGTTTTTTTCCAGTGCAGCCGTAGCCTACTTTCAAATTCTGCATCAATAACTTAAGCATCCGTCATGTTTAATCCTTAGTTTGATCCCAGATCTCTGGTCCCTGATGATTTGGAGTTCAGCTGATTATTTTGTTTTTTTTACTGTGCAGATCTGCAGCCTGATGCGAGGCGGCATCGCCGAGCGCGGCGGCGTCCGGGTCGGACACCGCATCATAGAGATCAACGGCCAGAGCGTGGTGGCCACTCCTCACGAGAAGATCGTACAGATCCTGTCCAACGCCATGGGAGAGGTGAGAACAGAATAACCTGAACTAGTCTGAAGCTTTAATGCACATTTCATATCATCTCCTCCTCTGGAACAATCGATAATTAAGGCAACAGACGGGGATTAAAGCGCAAGAAAAAAAATGCTTAAAGTCGACTAATTGAGGAATGAGGATTTAATTATCTGGTGCTTCAGAAGGATCCCATCCTCCTTTAAAGGAGCAGAATTCCTCTGGCGCTGCTGATTAGAGCGGAGATCTAATGGAAACCAGTTATTCTTTTTATTAAATGATGCGGTTTCCTCCAACCTTTCATCATCCTTTTTGCTTCACTGTAGTGGGAATTTATCGGCCTTTAAATCCCTTTTTGGCCCAGTTTTCTGTCCAGTTCTTATGAGAGGACCTGTTCAGACTCAGAGATTACGTGAAAACGGTCACATCTAGAAATGATGAACATTTGTCTTTGTTGCAGCTGCGTGTGCAGGGTGAGGGAAATGTGAAAACACAAGCAGGGCACCATAGAAATGATCCATTTTTGAATTTATTGCTTTGAACCCATCATCCCATCTTCAGAAACATGACTTGCCTTTAGGTATGGAAAGCTGTCTTGGATTTAATCCACCTCAATGGGTAACTATTAAGCTAACAGTGGAAGGTAACATATTATTACCTTAATATAAAAACATTTTACTCTGGAAAAAAACTGGGGAAAATGTATTTTTATTCGATAAATTGATTCTTACTTTAAATTTTATATAAATAATTCTAAACAACTTTGCAAATATTAATCTTGATGGTTTAAAGATGCGTTTTTTTAAACAAAAGTGTCATAATATGAAAAAAATAAACATTTAACGCTGGAATATAACTTTTAGAAACCTTTCCTTTCATAAGAGTTTAAAAAGTAAAAAATATTTTCAACATTTTCTTAAGGTAACCCAGCTTCCCCTCCCCCATAAACACACAGTAAGGAGATGGAGGGATAATTATCATTTTTTTCCCAGAGAAAATGATTTAAATTGGTTAATTAATGCCTTTTACCCTCCTAAAAAAAGTTTGGGTCTTTGATCCTCCGCAAAAATTAAACCAAACATGATTGATAAGGTGTTTAAAGATATTAAAGCTTCACTTGAAAATAGACGAAACGAACAAATACGGTTGTTGATGCCGTTTTTACTCCCATGGTTAATTGATTTTATAGAAATGTTTGTATAGTAAACAGTTGAAGTCATGAGTCAACTTTAACCTTTATTTCATTCATTAAAAATAAAACAACCATCCTTAAAAGGAGGAAAAAAAATCTGAATTAAAAGGGTAAAAAGTATAAACTTAGAATATTGGATCAATTTAAAGACAACTGACTCAGCTCAGACGTTCAGCAATAAAATCTTAAGGAAAAGTTTTTCATCTTCTGGTCTATTCTGTATTAATTAGGGGTGAAACAATCCGATTAATTATTTAACTTATCATTAACTGAAGTATAGAGACTCTTAAACATGCCTTTAGCTGACAGATCAGTGTAAAAATATATATAAATATTTTGCTTTTAAGTTAAAACTTTTTCCATTTTTCAATATGCTCATTCTACACTGTAAAAAATCAAAATCTAGAGAAGTTATTTTTTTTCTTAAAATAAGTGCATTTGTTCTTGGATTGAGGAGGTAAAAGAAACATTTTGCCAATAGAACAAGACCATTTATACTTAAAATAAGAAAACACAAATCCATTCTCTTATTTCAAGTACATATTATATAATTATCTTATTATAAGAGTAAACTATCTCATTTACCTACTGAAATTAAGGGTAAATACATTAATTTAAAACATTTTTACTTATTTCTAGATTGTATTTCCAGTGTAGAACCTCTCAAGTAGAAAAAAATTAGTTTGAACTGGTTTAATTCCTCTTAAATTATTCATTTTTAAGGAACCTTTGGCTATTATTGATCAATTATTCATAAAATTAATCAACAGATTAATCGATTAGCAAAATAATGGTGAGTTGCAGTCTTAGGATTAATAATTTGCTTAATCAGCTCTTGGGTTTAACAGCAGATGGTGAAATTCTCCTTGCTTTGCTCCAAATTACCAGAATAAATCATCATCAGGGATTTAGACGACATTTTACTTTTTAAACTGGCAACTAGGTTCAGCTTATTTCTTTCCTTTTCTTCCAGATCCACATGAAGACGATGCCTGCCGCTATGTATCGCCTGCTGACAGCGCAGGAACAACCCGTCTACATCTAATCAGATCACCGTGTTGGTCCTTTTAAAACTGCCCCCCCCGTTACTTTAAACCCCTCCCCCATCCTGGTTGATATCACTCTACTTGCCTTAATCTGTGGAGCTGACGGCCGTGTAAATGGTGCACATCTCCGGTGTGGCAGCAGAAGGCAAATCGTCTCACTATAGGCAGAGTGTTTGTGACATTTTAGGTTCGACCAAAGATAATTTGTGTTTTTTTTTCTCTTGTGTATATTTAGGTTGCAGAGACAATATTAGATCTGGTTGAATAGCTGTAATATCTGAATGTATTTCAATCATGATGGACCTATATTATAAAGCTAAGAGGACTTTTGCAGTGAGAAGGTGAAGGGAGAGGAATGCATGTACGAATCTAAAGAATAAATATGTGAAAAGGCTGTGATTTCTGTTTTTTTTTCCTTTTTCTATTGAGCAGAAAGTAAAACTATAAACTCTCCACCAAAATCTACGGAGGTATATTTGTGTCAAAAATCATATTTTCAGTAAAATAAAAATTCCTTTAAATTCTCAATCCTTTTAGAGTTTTCAAACTGTACTTTAAAAGGTTCCACAAAAAATATGAAATCCATGAAATTTTATATTGAAATAGGTGCGAAGATAAGGAGTTGAGCTAATGGGATAAAATTAGTTTTAAAAGAAAAACATTTCAAGAGTAAAAATCGAATCGTCTTACTTAGAAGAGTGGAAATATTAATTCAGATCTTATTCATCCTGCTCAAATTAAGAGAAAAGTACGTTACTGATTTCTTGCTTTGCATCTAATTTTAAGTCACCATCTAGAAGCTGTTGATCAGAAAAACAAGGCAAGCTTAAATGTAACTTTCTAAAATGAAAGAACCAAGAATATTGAACTTTTTAACAATTATTTCAAAGTGAAAGCAGTCCTGAATGCTACTCCAGAAAAAGGTTATCCTCTGCTTTACTTCAGAACAATTCAGTAAATAAGAAATATTTTACCCTCTTCCATCAGCTAGAATCACTTGTTTTTGCAAACAAGTTTAAAAAAAGAAATATTTATGAATTCAGTATCTTTTAGTAAGTTTTAAAAGACACTCAAACCCAAAAATGTTCTCCTTAAACGAGATCTCGATCTCAGCGAGGTTTCATCTGGTTAAAGGAAATTAACAGATCATTGACTTTAGATGAATTAACCCATCAAAACATAAAAAAAACTAAAGAAAACCTGTTATCACAGTTTACAGCTAATGAAGATAAAAGGAAATTTCAGAATAAAACTAGAGACCCAATTAAAAGCCTTTTTTTTTTTTTTTTTTTTTAACAGAGAAATGCTCCAGCTTCAACAATCACTGGATGCTAAACCATATTTTCAAAATAAAAAACTGCTTCCAGATGACACAGGAACTAGGTCGTCTTTGGGGAAATGTTTCTTAAAAATATGATCATAAAACAGATGTTTTATTAAAACCACAGAGCTCTAACCTGTGGCGTTTACTCTGTTAGCGGCTCTGCTAACTGGATCGCATGAAGCGCAGTGGTCAGTAGCACCGAGAAGGTCTTTGGTTCCAATCCTGGCTTCGGCTCTTCGCCATGAAGTCTGCATGGTCTCCCTGTGGAAGTGAGTTTTCTCCAGGTAACCCCTCCACCCCTCCCCCACACACAGAGTAACAGATGGAGGGAAAATAAATTCAATTCAGTTTATTTCTATAGCGCCAATTCACAACACGTCATCTCAAGGCGATTTACAGTTCACCAGATCATCCAGTCAGATTGATTCAAAGTTTTCTATCTAAGGAAAACCAGTTTATTGCATCGACTCATTGACTAGAAGGCAATCCCTCACACTAAGCATGCTTGTAGCGACAGTGGAGAGGAAAATCTCCCTTTTAACAGGAAGAAACCTCCAGCAGAACCAGGCTCAGTGTGAACGGCCATCTGCTGAGGCCGACTGGGGGTCAAGGAGACAGAAGCAGAGATACAAAAAGCAGCTGTAAAAGGCGGCCCCGTCCAGGAAACACAGCCAGGCAGATTAACTCTGAGCCAGCTCCCATTTCAGAAGATGAAGAGAGCACATCCAGTTAGTCACAGGAAGAGAAACATGACTTAATACTTTTTTGGAGCCTGTAACCTTCCTAAAAATACAAATAAAACAGCTTTTACTTGTTCTTTTTAATATATCAATAAAAGAAACAACTAAAATATTTTACAGTTGCATAACTTTTCATGTATAGAAATCAAGTGATCGACCCTTTAAAAGCATTGTTGGAGCTATTTATTCTTTATTTCTTTATTAATTTGAATCGTGTTAATTCCTAAACTTATATATTTTTTGTATTATTTACAGACTTTATAGGTACATTGTTGAATTTTGTGTATTTATTTTTTGTTGTTTTATCATTTTTTCTTTTATGTAAAACAGGAAGAAATGTGGGAGGTCCACTTCCTATAATTGTAGGAGCCTGGTAAGGACCAGCAGGCATTTGGGTTAGGGGCCTATGGGTTTTTACCAGCGCAAGAGAGGTGACAGAGCAAGGAATGTTTGAACTCTGTAATGCTGCAAAAATATAGGAAATAAATCAACTGAACATCTACAAGTCTGGACTTCAACTTCTTTTGCCTGCGTCAAGAAAACGTGACCCCAGTGCCTATAGTGGCTTATTGGAACTTTATTGGATGTTTGGTTTGACAAACAATCGCCACTACAAGCATCATATCCCACCTCCCGTTTCATTTGTCCAGCAAAGGTGTTAAAAGTTGGTTAAAAAATTTGGAAAAACAAACTTTGAAGAACGTGTAAAAAACTTTATTTAAACTTTTCCAAGAGTGAGCAGTGAAACACTCAGGAGATCACAAACTACAAAAACAGAAATCACAAAAAAAAAAAAAAAAAAGACGATTGTCACCACATTCCCCGACGCTCCTGTGCACAAAAACTTTAATTATAGTGGGTTTATATTCAGTATAAAAATATAAGCAGTAATAAAAAGGTGATTGTCTGCTGACGGCAGCCAAGAAGACAAACTTTACTGTGCTGCACCTTTTTAATTTCTCGTTCAGTGTTTGTTCCAAAGAGCAGCTCATCAGTAATCAATGTAATAACTTTCCCTCCAGGTTAGACTTTGAAAAATAAAATAAAAACGTAACAGCAGGAACGACGTCTCCGCTTCTTTTCTCCAGCTCTCTGTTAGATTTTAAACAGGAAAACAAGCCGAGTGCTTCTGGATTCTTTATATCCAGACTGAAAAATCAGGAACAAGGCACGTTGATAGAGGAAGCGGGCGCCAGGTGCCGACGGACGTGTAAAAATGGCGGGAAGCTGGACGGCGGCGAACGAGGAGCAAACGGGAGCATCTGGGTTTTGTTCTAGAAATCTGGATTAAGCCTCGGCATGAAGCGGCTGCAGCAGAGAAGCTTTGGCTAAAGCCGAAAAACACAAACATTTAAATTAACTGGGGGGGGAGGGGCTTGTTTCCTGTTGAACTGTGATACGAAACACTGGATAAAATTTACTCTTCTACATTTAAATATGCGGAAATTACATAAATAGTTCTGTACAAAAGTATTGTGTCATCCCTTATTTCTTTACAGGCGTCCAGATTTTTTTTTTTCTACCTTTAAAATGTACGGAGCCCCTAAAGGGACATGGAGGGAAAAAATAAACTTTGCGAGCTTTCGCAAAAAATAAACTTTTGCGAGACCTCACAAAAGTATTGCGGGATCTCGAAAAAAATAAACTTTTGCAAGATCTCGCAATACTTTTGCGAGATCCCACAAAAGTATTGCGAAATCTCGCAAAAAAAAACCTTTGCGAGACCCCGCAATAGTATTGCGGGATCTCGCAAAAGTATTGCAAGATCTCGCAAAAAAAAACTTGCAAGACCCCGCGATAGTTTTGCGAGACCTCGCAAAAGTATTGCGGGATCTCGAAAAAAATAAACTTTTGCAAGATCTCGCAATACTTATGCGAGATCCCGCAAAAGTATTGCGAGATCTCACAAAAAAAAAAACTTTTGCGAGACCCCGCGATAGTTTTGCAAGACCTCGCAAAAGTATTGCGGGATCTCGCAAAAGTATTGCGAGATCTCGCAAAAAAAAAACGTTTGCGAGACCCCGCAATAGTTTTGCGAGACCTCGCAAAAATATTGTGGGATCTTGCAAAAGAATTGCGAGATCTCGCAATATTTTTGCAAGATCTCGCAAAACTATTGCGGGATCTCGCAAAAGTTCTTTTTTTCCCCTCCATGTCCCTTTAGGGGCTCCGTAAAACTGGCCTTGATCAACAGTTCATCAGTTTCTGAAGCTCTGAAGTTTCTTTGGACTCTGGCTGCTTTTTTTAATCACTTCCTGTTTTTTCTTGCACCAAAAATGCGATTTTCTAGCTGCAAAAATGTTGCAATTTTATTTCCATGGAGGTTTTCTTTGTTTTACTGCAGATAGCAGCAGATTAATAAACAAGGGGGAATCAGTTCCTTTACAACGTTAATCTCAGATTATTTCATGTTTTACAACCTAAACAGTGAGATTTTAAATCAACTGCAAGAAACAGAGAAAGAAGTTCCAGCTGCAAAAATGAAGTTTGATTTTTAGTATTACAGTGACTCTGTTACAGGGATTAAACTTTGCCATTTAAAGTCAAACCAAACTCGATCGGAAGGAGGCGGCAACAAATCTGAACTTAAAGTCTAAACAAATGTTTGCTTTTTCCACAGCAGTTAAACTTTGAACCAGGATCCAAATTCACAGGTTTATAAAACAGGAGTTAAACGTCTTTAAAGACCAGAAGAAAATTGGTTACTAATTCACTTTTGCTCAATTTTCTCTTCAATAAAAAAGATCAAATGATCCAAGATGCTTTCTGAACGGATTTAACCATTTTATATATGTTACATTTAGTTTTCTGCTAAGATTATTTGAAGCTGTAAATATTAAGGAACATACAATCTAAGCCTCTATTAGACTTAAACTATTTCCTCAATTAAAGTCGTTTTTTCAGGGAGAAATTTCTAATTTCTTAGATTAAAAAAAAAATTCTGCAGTTTTTTTTCTGTTTTTTTTAAACATATATTTTCAAGTTTTTCCCTCCATAAAACTATAGTCACTGCTTCGTCTGGACAAACAGTTAACTTCTGTTTATTTTTCAATCACCTGGAATCTCTAGTTGATTGTTTTCTATGATTATTACACGTTCTCGAGCTCTCAGCTTGTGCTCCATGTACCTTTAATGTTTATTTATAAAGAAATGGATGATTTTATGTTTATCTGGGAGGTTAACAAGGCCTAGTTTATTAATCTCTTTAGGTTGCTAAACATCTCTGGTCTGTTCTGATGCTGGAGAAAGAATTAAAAGCTGAAATAAACTTTTCATGCTGTGATTTATTCTGTAGTTTTTTAGATCAGGCAGCGAGTCCATATGGAGTGAGCTTCATTCCATTAATGTTGCAAGAAAAAACAAAACATTTTGTAAATGGAAAAACAATTGAATGAAATAAGACTTTAAAGTAACTTTGCTGTTTTCTCATTTTTGTTTGTTTATATAAACCTTTGAGTTTTTACAGATTTTATATTTTCGATTCTTTTTGAAAGTAGTTAGGACAACTAAAGAGTTCAGAAAGACAAAAAGCAATTTATAAAAACCTGAAAATATAAAATCTGTAAAATAAAATGCAAATAATCTATAAAAAGAAATTCAATTAAAGAAACAATAATTTGAAAAAGAAAAAAACAGCAAAGTTGCACTTAAAAACGTTTTTTTTATCAAAATGTTTTTTTTCTTACCTAATTTCTGGATTGAATTTTTTTTTTTTTTTTATTTATATTCACAAAATGTGTTTTTTTGTTGGGAACAATAATGGAGAGAGTTTAACTCCGTAACTGGATCATATTCTGCTTCCTGCAGGTTCTGAACGACCTTCATTAAAACTGGAAAACTATTCATCAAACCCAGTTTAACCAGTTAAAGGAGAACCATCCTGATTGGTTTAAAAAATCCTCCAGATTTTGGTCCGGTTCTGAGTTTCTGCTTCGGTTTTCAGCCTCGCAGCTAAACGGCGTGTCGGACGTCTCCTCTTTGCCTCTAGATGAGGCTCCACCTGATTATATTCCAAGTAAACAAAAGGCAGAGAGCCAGAGTGAATATTTACACCAGAACATCTTTCTGAAAACGAGTCGGTCAGGACGGAAGTTCCCTCCGTGTTCAGCAGAGACTCGAACGGCTTTCAGAGTTTAAACGCGGCGGCGAAGCCCAACCTGGTGGCAGGAGATGTTAGAGCAAATAAAGAGTTCAGAGAGCGACAGAAGCTGGTAAATGGGCGCGGCTGGAGCCTCACAGCTCCGTGTCCTTGTACTTCTGAGGGTTGTAGTAGCCCTTCCTGGTCTGCTCGTTCAGCTGGCGGCGGTACTCCGCCTCCTCCTCCGCTCCTCTCGTCTCTGAGTACGCAGGCCTGGACGCCGTCTGCGGCTCAGCGTTGGAGCTGAGAACACAAAAACCAATCAGGTCTAGCCTCCATCGTCCTCGTTTGTGTGATTCAGTCGGAGAAAGCTCTCACCCGATTGGCTGAGGGCGGTTCAGGTTGGGTTTTGGCAGCTTCACAGGGACGGCGTAGATGTCTGGATGCTTCTGGGCGATTTCCAACTAGGCAGAGAGAAGAATAGACCCAGAAACGTCAGAGTGAGGAGCAGCGGGAGAGAAAAGCCAGAACCTGACAGGCCGGCTAAGGAAGCCGTTCAGGGTAGAATGTTTGGCGGCCGAGCCGCAGCACCGGTAAAACTCTAAATGCACACGTTACTGACTCGAGCGTTTTCTGCCTCCTGCAGCTCCAGAAGCCTCTGAGCTCGGGCCAGGTGGTCCATCTTCTCAAACGCTTTGATCTGGAAGAAAAAAAGGCGTGGGTTAATAGTTTGGCGTCTTCATTCAGGGTTAAACACAGAAAGATGGATGCATTGGTTCCTATGAAGCTAACACGTATAATGGAGGTAATGAGACTGTGGGTTCCTACATATTAATGGGATTCTTTATGAATTATTTAGTAATAAATGCACCTTCTTTCTCCTGCAGCAATTTTTCAGATGCTTTAATACAGTAGCAGCCATTCAAAATGGCCCTTCCCTGTCAAAGCCACTGGCCTTCTCATCGGCGTGCATATTCTTTTACTCTGACTCCTCCCTTTCACTGAATTACAGGGTCTGACCAGGAGATGGCGCTTTTCTTTATGTCCTCAAATCATGACAGAAACAATATTTTAGATGCTTAAAGTCGTAGGGAAGCGGCTGTTCCAATGTTTGTATTTCTGAATTCTCCCGAGTGGTGCACGACTTTACACGAGTGAATAAAGTGAATATGATTGGTCCGTTATGAAGGGGGGCGACATTGTTGTAAGTTCACAAGCAAGTTTGATTGTTGCTGGTTTGTTCGAAGCATCTTGCTAACCAGTTAGCATCTTAGTGCTAGTAGGTTCCCAACGGGAAATTCCATTGGGACCAAGTAGCACTAAATTGGTGACTTAGAAACGACACTGTCAAGGAACGCTATGGACAGAGGAAACATGCAAGAGGAGGAGAGTTTACAGGTGCTGGTCATAAAATTAGAATATCATGAAAAAGTAGATTGATTTCAGTAATTCCATTTAAAAAGTGAAACTTGTATATTATATTCATACATTACATACAAACTCATATATTTCAGATGTTTATTTTGTTTAATTTTGATGATTACAAATGACAACAAATGAAAATCTCAAATTCATCATATCAGAAAATTAGAATATTACTGAAGACCAATAAAAACAAAGGATTTATAGAAATGTTGGCCAACTGAAAAGTATGAACATGAAAAGTATGAGCATGTACAGCACTCAGTATTTAGTTGGGCCTCCTTTGGCCTGTATTACTGCAGCAATGCGGCGTGGCATGGAGTCGATCAGTCTGTGGCACTGCTCAGGTGTTATGATAGCCCAGGTTGCTCTAATAGTGGCTTTTAGCTCTTCTGAATTGTTGGGTCTGGTGTATTGCATCTTCTTCTTCACAATACCCCATAGATTTTCTATGGGGTTAAGGTCAGGAGAGTTTGCTGGCCAATTAAGAACAGGGATACCATGGTCCTTCAACCAGGTACTGGTAGCTTTGGCACTGTGTGCAGGTGCCAAGTCCTGTTGGAAAATGAAATCTGCATCTCCAAAAAGTTGGTCAGCTGCAGGAAGCATGAAGTGCTCTAAAACTTCCTGGTATGTGGCTGCGTTGACCCTGGACCTCAGAAAACACAATGGACCAACACCAGCAGATGACATGGCACCCCAAACCATCACTGACTGTGGAAACTTTACACTGGACTTCAAGCAACGTGGATGAAGTGCCTCTCTTCTTTTCCTCCAGACTCTGGGACCTTGATTTCCAAAGGAAATGCAAAATTTACTTTCATCAGAGAACATGACTTTGGACCACTCACCAGCAGTCCAGTCCTGTTTCTCTTTAGACGCTTCTGACGCTGTCTGTGGTTCAAGAGTGGCTTGACACAAGGAATGCGACAGCAGAAACCCATGTCTTTCATACGTCTGTGTGTGGTGGTTCTTGAAGCACTCACTCCAGCTGCAGTCCACTCTTTGTGAATCTCCCCCACATTTTTGAAGGGGTTTTGTTTCACAATCCTCTTCAGGGTGCGCTTATCTCTCTTGCTTGTACACTTTTTTCGACCACATCTTTTCCTTCCCTTCGCCTCTCTATTAAAGCTACAGTGTGTAATTTTCAGCGACATCTAGCGGTCAGACTGCAGACCGCAGCAACATGAACGTCTCCCCCCCACCGCTTCTCCCCCCCAACAGTACGGCGAGCGTTACGGGACAAAATGTCTTCCACGACGTCCGCATCACCTACCTTCTCAAGTGATGAGGTTTGTTTACATAGATAATTTTACAGATAGTATTTCATTAGTCTGTGTAGGGTATAGATTTCATGTAGACTTAAGATAATAAATATACCCGTTATTTTTTCTACGTCGTTGTGACGTTTTGGTGAGCTGCTTTGCATGGTGATATAAACAGACGAAGTAATTGTAGTCATTAGTTTAACAGCGAGATTGTGTTCGCTGGAAGAATATATATTCCCCGTTTACAGAGTCCAAGTCTTGTTTGTGGCACGGGGGTTACAAGGCAAGGAAGAGGGAAAGGAAGAGGGCAGAGAGGCCGGGGTGAGCGTGCAGCTGGGGCCAGGCGAGAGAGGGGAGCCAGCGGGGTGAGAGCAGAGGAGGAAAGGCTTGAAGATCTCCAAAGGAGCTGGAGAGAAGTAACCGAGGTATATATCCAGAAAATTATTTTACAGAAAATTACTGAATCATTACCTGTGAAACGTCAGGGACGTTGCTGAATAAGTATACTGGAGAGTAACAGCATCATCACGCAGCATGTTATTGTTTTAGACAGGTCTGAGCATCCTGTACTCCAAAAACTGCAGTGATATTAGACAATTATGTGTGTAGGATTAATTACCTGTCCAAGAGAAAACTGGCAACTTGAGCGTCACTTTGAAAACCTTTTTCCTCCATCAGTGACTTCCATCGTGTAAATGCCGTGCCAATGTTGATCCGTGTTTTTTGTCGTTTCTTGTCACTCTTGCGTTTATTCTCGTCGTGTTTCCGCTTCTTAGATGACGGGGGTTCGGTGTCCGCCGCTTTTCGTTGTGATACAGAGTAGGCATGATCCTCCATTCGTCTGATGTTTGGCCACACAGTGCCAAACAGTTTGCAAAGTCACTCACGCCTGCCGCCTTGTTTACCTTTCTTGTTACCAAGGCGCAGTATACCTGCTTCTTCTTCTTCTTTGGTTTCAGGCAGACTAAACGCTTCTCAGGCATAATACTGCCATCTACTGTTCAGTACCGTCTCAGTTAATCTCTCTCAACTTGCCGTAGTTATTTTCGAGCGTCATGGGAGATCTCGCAATCGCTAGTTTGTTGCTTCTGCGCTGCCGTAGCGCAAAGATGTCAGCCCCCATGGCTGCGAGACCCGCTCCTATGTAATTATAAATAACGAATTCTAAGGCAACGCAAATGTTATGGTTAAAAGGCTGAGCTCATAGGTGATGATAAATAACATAGTTATGTATAATATATTAAATTTCTGAATTTATATGCCTGTAATTATTACACACTGTAGCTTTAATGTGCTTGGACACTGAGCTCTGTGAACAGCCAGCCTCTTTAGCGATGACCTTTTGTGTCTTGCCCTCCTTGTGCAAGGTGTCGATGGTCGTCTTTTGGACAACTGTCAAGTCAGCAGTCTTCCCCATGATTGTGTAGCCTATAGAACTAGACTGAAAGACCATTTAAAGGCTTTTGCAGGTGGTTTGAGTTAATTAGCTGATTAGAGTGTGGCACCAGGGGCCATCAATTTTGAACCTTTTCACAATATTCTAATTTTCTGATATGATGAATTTGAGATTTTCATTTGTTGTCATTTGTAATCATCAAAATTAAACAAAATAAACATCTGAAATATATGAGTTTGTATGTAATGTATGAATATAATATACAAGTTTCACTTTTTAAATGGAATTACTGAAATCAATCTACTTTTTCATGATATTCTAATTTTATGACCAGCACCTGTAGTGTCGGAGGTCGGGGATGAGTCTCCTCCGTCATCCATTTTTTATTTAGAGGAGGAAAGCGGGGATGAAGATGTTGTGGAAGAGGACGCCAGGGCGGCAGAAGCTTGGTTTGGTGTAGAAGGCTTACAGCCTTACATGTTTGAGCCCTTGCCTCACAACGCTGCCAGTTCTGTTAGCTCTACGCCTGCTGAAGACACAGACGTCTATCCCTGTGAACACTGGGACGGAACTCAATGTGAGAGGAAATTATTCTGATTTCAACCGTTGCGTATATTAGCTGCGACATACGAATCAAGATGCTATGACCGAAACCATTTGATTGACAGATGACCGTTGATATATGAATTTAGGCCGAATTTAGGTGTTCAGGCTGACGTATAACTAACTGGTCTGCATAAAATAACGAAAAAATACAGATTTTAAGACAGGATTTTTTTTAAATACAAATTTTCTAAATTTTGGGACAATATCGTCTGATAAAAAGTACATTTATATACATGTTTAAGCCAGAATGATTCGACATTTAAATGCGACTTCCCTACCACTTTAAAAGGGAATTTTAGGGGAACAGCCAAGGGCCGAGCAAGGAAAGTGGGGAAATTTTGAATGAATACTACTGTAATTCCATAGAGAACTATTATTAATATATATATATATATATATATATATATATATATATAAAAATTCTAAACTAAATGGATTTAAAACATAACATATATTGTATAAATGTAAAACACAAAAACAAAAAACACTGAAAAATAAATAAAAACATAACACGTGTTTGTCATTTTAAATTTATCAAACTTTTTCTGTCAAATTTTAAATAAATTTATTTCAGGAAAACCTTCTAATCCCTTAAAGGAAGTGAATATTGCAGTAAAACCCTGAATTTATCCTCAGCTACTCGCTGATCAAAGTTCAACTGATTCCTACCAGAAAGAGACAACTGGAAACAGCAGAAATGAAATGTTTTTTTCTTGTGAACACATGGAGTTACCTGATTGGTCATTCTCTAGTTCATAACAGCAGAGAGAAAAAAAGCAAAGGAGGAAGAAAAGAAAAGAGTTTACTGAGTGAAGCAGAGAGGAGGAACGGAGTAAAAAAGCAGGAGGATTTGTTCCGCTGGTTCTGACCTTTCCCAGGAAGGACTTGTTAGCCGGGTCGTCCTCGTTCTGCTCCTGCGCCGGAACCTTCTCCTCTGACGACTGGTGCAGACGCCCGATGCTGGGCTTCATGGCCACCGGCGGGGGGGCCGGCCTGCTTCCGGCCGCCGCGTCGATGCTGCTGACGGTGCTGCTGGAGTGGGACTCGTAGCTCCGCGTCGAGTCGGTCCGGGTCTGAGCGCGCACCTGCTGGGGGAGAGGAATGTCCCGTCTGAGAACCGGCTTATTGGGAGGTTTAGGATGGTGGGGGGTGGGGAGGTATGCTTCTGACCTTTGGAGGTTCAGGGACGAATGACGGCGGGGGGCTGGGCTCCCTGTTCAGAACCTCTCTGCTCCCGGCCCGCTTCATCCGCCGCGGTTCTTCGGGCAGGACGGGCTCAGACGACCTGCTGATGGCCGAGACGGGCTGAGGCTCGTCCAGCGGCTCGTCCAGCTCGTTGTCCGTGTAGGCCCCGCCCTCGTCCGCCGTGTCGTCATAGTCGCTGGTCAGACGGCTGTCCATGCTGAGGTAGTCTGCGCTCATGGCAGACAGGTAGGACATGCGGTCGTCATGGAGATCCAGGTCCTCCTCTGAGCCGTCCATCTGAAGGGATTTATTTACAAGGTGGACTGAAGCACTTAATGAGTTATCACTATTACTGCAGCTTTTTCTACCAGACGTTTTCCTTCCACTAAACTTTCAATCAATACACTAGATTTGGCACAAAGGAAACAAAACCTAAGAAATAAAACACTGTAATATGTTAAACTTGACCTTTGTAAACAAATAAAAATAATAAACTTATCTCTGTGTCTGTTTAGTTAGATTTTACTCCCTGAATGTTTCATTAAGTTTTATATACAGTTACAAATAGAAAGCTTACGGCAACCATCATGATGTTCTGCTTGTAAAAGCAAAGCTGTTTGGCTGTCAGCTACCTCTGGGACATCGATTCCCAGAGTCATATTGGAAAAACAGAACCAAAAAAAAAATCTTTTTCGATGTGATTCAGCTTTTTAAGCCGGGTGTACACTATGCGATTTTTTGTAAAGGCCATTTTCAATCGGGCCAACTTTCAGCCTGATCGTCCGTGGTGTAATATAGAGGGGGTAACTAGGGCGATAAGCCTCTCACAACCACCTACGTACAGAATCTTAAGGTCGGGAGAAAATCAAACATGTTTAAAAATCAGTCGGCAGTCGTAAGGGATCTTGCGCTGTAAAAAATGTAGAACTAAATTAGTGAAACTTCCTTGAATTAAGTGCATTTGTTCTTGAATGGAGCAGGTAAGTAACACAATTTGCCAACTGAATTAGACAATTTACATTTAAAATAAGAAAAAAACAACTGCTGTCTCTTAAATTCAAGTGCATAATATCTGATGATCTTATTTTAAGGCTAAATAGAGCTTGGGTGTCATGACGTAATTACTTTGCGTCGCCGCCATCTTGACGGCCTCTTTTACCGCGGCTCAGACTACTGCCTATGACTACCGCATACTGTACTCCCTCTCAGCCGTGTTTTAATTTGATTAATTTCACCTTAACTTGATTTCAACCATGGTAAACCGTTGCTGTATTGTGGGCTGTAACAGCTCAACACATGATCGCCATGGAAACAACATAGAAAATGGGTTAACTTTCCACCGCTTTCCTGCCTGGAGGCGTAACCATGGAGACCAAGCGTCAGAGATAAAAAGTCGTCGGCTAGCTTGGATCGCGGCTGTAAGACGACCGAACATAACTTTCCACAGTATTCCAATGTCATTGAGAGTGTGTTCCCTGCATTTTTATTCTGGTAAGTTAAAGATGCACGGTTTTATTTTATTGCCTACTTTGTTTCTTTCCTTCAAAGTTGGGATCTTTTACGGTAAAATAATAAAAACAGCAGCGGGAAAAGGCTCAAATACGTGAGAAACCCGGAGGGTTGGCAGTTAACGTTACTAACTACACCTTTGAAACACATAGCAGCTAGTTAAAAGTACATTACATGCGTGAGTGGTTGTTAGCATTAGCGGTTAGCAGTTGCTAAACTAGCAGGTTCCAGAGCCCCTCTGATCACAGCTTACCTTCGTACGGATTACTGTGTTCCCACTGTTTGCTGGCTTTATGATCTGCAGCTCCTGAACCCATCCATTCATGAACTGCACATGAGACTCCAACGACTTGTAGCTTCGGAACTGTTTTGAAGTATAGGCGCTCACTCATCGGTGCTCCACTCATTGTTTGGAACTTCATATGGATCCAAATGATTAATAATGCTGATTTTGTCAACATACCAGTCCCTGGCTTCTCTATTTAATGTGTCCCGGTAAATTCCAGATCTTTTTCGGGATTTTAACATCTTTTTTCTCTCTACTTCTACGTCTCTTCGTTCAACAACAACGTATCAGAGCTATGTTTACGTTCGCGTAGCCGTCAACATGGCCGCCACGTCCCACAATGCAACGCGGATCCCAAGCCCTATACACTCATTCCATTGGCAGATTGTCCCATTTACCCACTCAAATTAAGTAAATACACTTATTTTAAGGATGTTTTTACCCATTTTAGGATCATTTTTGCAGCGTGGGCAAACAAGGATTCTTCTTCCTCTCAGATGAAAACACAGAAGCATGGCGGGGGTGCGAGGGAAATTGAGTTCTTTCTGTCAAATTGCCAGACTGTAGTAGCCATGTGTAATCAGCCATGTCTTTTTTTCCAAATACATCGTCGCCTTTTCTTTTTAGGGCTTTCAGCACAAAATTTCACAATTTGCAAAGCCAGCACGTTTCACTCTAGTGAAACAGTTCCGGATAGACGAGTCCGAGTAGCGGCATCTTACCGCGGAGCAGAGTACGACATTGTTTTCAGACGTTCAGTGTGAGCTGGTAGATCGCATCAGAGCGTCGGGTCGCTCAGTGTGAGAACAAACATTATGAGCTGTGAACTTATGAACCCTGCGGTTTCGTCGCACAGTGTGAGCTCTAGCTACGTGCAACGATTGAAAATATCACAGTGTACGCCCGGCTTTAGACGCCACAGGATCTCCGGAGAATCTGAGCGACTCACCTTCGACTCAGACACCCACACCGCTCTGCTCTGCTGCTCCCGGATCGAGTCCTTCACGCTGCCGTACCAGGCGTCATTAGACGCGTTCAGATCGATGGAGGCTGGAGACAAAAAAACATACATGACAGAGGATGAGTGAACTGAGAGGGGCGGGGTCAGAGGGCGTGCTGATGCCTGACTGACCGGTGAAGAGGTGGGAGCAGGTCTTCCTCAGCCTGACGGCCTGCTCATACAGCTTCCGGGCGCTGCGGTTGGATCCGGGCATGAGGCGGTTCCTCATGGTCTTCACGCCTTGTTTGCTGTCCGGGTTGAGGAAGATGACGATGGGATACCACTGGGTGTAGTTCAAGGTGTCCACGGCTTTGGGCGTCACGTCCAGCAGCGCGTGGAGGTCCTGCGCAGACAAGATGGCGCAGGTTAGCGTCATGAATTAGGAGCTTTTGGTTCCTGATTTCTGGAATAAAAATCCAACCTGCTCGATGATCTGACGGATGGTGTTCAGTCTCACCACTCCGGAAGACTTCTCACTTCCTGCATCTTTGGGCTCCGTTTCTAAAACAGAGAGAGATTTTCTTTTTTTTTTGTCGGCTAAACTTTTCCAGAATCCGATCTTCACCGACTGGAAACTTAAACGTTCAGAGTTCTACGTCCTTTCTAGCATCATTTTGAAACTTAGAGATAAAATTCCATTGGTTTTGATGGGAGAAATTTCCCGTAAATCTAAACCCTGATAGGATATTTAAGCTTAAAAACCATCTCAGTGCGACTAATGATGCTGCAGCACGTATGTTCACAAACTAACCTCTACCTAAGCAATATTTTACATTTGTTTCTAATTCATCAGAAGACAGTTCCCACTTCTATATAAATAGATTTTCAAAGAATTTGCTTAAAATATCAGCAGATTAAAAAAAAGATACACTGGAAAAAATCTAAATCTATAAAAGAATTTCTTAAAATAAGTGTATTTGTCCTTGGATTGAGGAGGTAAAAGAGACATTTTGCCAATGGAACAAGACAATTTACATTTAAAAAAATAAGAAAACACAATTGTATTTTCTTATTTCAAGTGCATATTATCTAATTGTCTTATTTTAAGAGTAAAAATACTCATTCCATTGGCAAATGATCTAATTTACCTACTCAAATTAAGGGTAAATGCACCTTATTTTGACATTTTTACTTATTTCGAGATCGTTTTACCAGTGTAAATGATTAAACTGATCTGATGGTTTTATTTAATTACCTAAATATTGGATTAAAAAGAAAATAAATCTTTGTGTTGTGCTCGTATGTTGATTTATTCAATGATTTTGTAGCAAAAAGGGTTTCTGTATAATTAAAATTTGATTAGGATGTGATTAATTCATTAAATACCCTCATTTAAAGGATATCTTATTCCCAAATTCCTGCCACTCCCGGTTATAACGGCCCAAATTCACAAGTTGTTGGATTTTTGGATTCAGGATTTTGGTGAAAACCTGAGATGAATTTCAGTCTCCCTGAGGAGCAGCGACCAGCAGGTTTGAGTTCAGAACCTGGTCGTTGCTGCTGGAGTAGGAAAAGCTAAAAACGACTCGATAAACAATTGAACCATTAACCCCTAGAACCCTACGGACCCACCGGCGGGTCCAGCTGCTACGTGACCTCATAATTTTAACAAACCCCCAGTATTGATGTAAAAAACACATTTAGCACAGTGTGGTGACATTTATGGATAAATGTGCCAAAATGGCCCCTCCGCCTAAGAAATTTCTCACTAATACCATTCTAAAATAAATATGATTCATCTGATTGAGTCCAAATTTGGTATATTTTTACACAACATTTAGATTTAAAAGTCTGTACTACTTTTTTGTGCTATAAATAATATTTTGGTAGTGTTTTGCAATGTTTATTTCAAAGAAAATTTTGGCGAGCTTCAAAAAATGCAAAATGTTTTGTATTTTGTCCCTAATATTTCAGGCAGGGTCAAAGCTACAATGGTGCTGACACCAGAAAACCATTCTATGACATCTTACCTTTACAGAGGTACCAAAAGTTTCTTCTTAAATCTAATAAATGTGTGAGGCTATAAGTGATTTACTTTTGTGTGTTTTTGTCAGGCAGAAATTTATTTATACCCCCTTAGGGTGTAAGAGGTTAAGGGTTTAATTTAAATGGATTTTTTTCTGAAATTGCAGCAATAAATTATTTTCAGATTGTTTCCAACATTTAGACAAAAAGACCCGAATGTTGAGGAGACTTACTGGCGATGATGAACTCGTCGGGAAGGTCGGCGGCCAGCTTCTCGTTCACTATGTCGGAAATGGGCCCGAATATCACAACAGGTCTCCTGAAACCAGCTAACAGAACAGAACAGAACCGCGACGTCAGGATTTACAGACGGGGACAGAAAAGGACAAACCTGAGGTAAGATTAGTCCAGTACCTTCACGGAGAACCACTCTCTCGTAGGCGGGGAACCTGGTGGTGACCGGCGTGGCGCTCAGGTCCTCTCTGCTCTTACGCAGGTCTTTCTTCTTGGCCGCCCTTTGACCTCTCAGCCTCCAGAAGTCTCCTCTGTCGCTGCCGGATGCCGCCCGAGCGGCGTTCTGAACGTTGGCCATCTGTTCTGCTCTGTGACGTAAAAACCAGAACCCAGTCAGAGGTTTTCTGTGCGAAGCAGCTAACGGTTTCATTCCTCTGATACACTCACCCGCTCTTGTTTGGGATGATTCCCTTCTCCAGCAGCTGGTTGTCCTTGTCTGTTCGGATCGCCAACCAGTGGCCCAGCTTACCGTCGTAGAGCGTGTCGGTGACTTTAAAGATCTCTCCTCTGGTGAACGGGAGGCTCTGCGGAGTTTCCTTCTCGTACTCAAAATGGGTTCTGATGAAGAAAGAGTCTCCCCGTCCGGATGAGAGAATATCCTCGTAAACTAAGAACAACAAAAATCACATGATTATTTTCTTTACCTCGATCTTATTTACTTCATTTGCAGCTGTGGCAACAACAAAAAAAAGCACAGCCTGCTTTAGTTCTAGGAAAACAAGTTAGTCTTAAAATGCTAAAGATGGAAGGACAGTAAAATGTCACCAAAGGTTAGCATTAGCATTAGCAGACCTGGGAATTTGAAAGCATAAATGGCCTTATCAAGTCAAAGGACTTGAACATAGCACTCTCCAATATATGGCGGCAAACTACATTGTAGCCACAGCTGCCTGGGGCTCGCTGACAGAAGCAAGGGTGTCGTACACTGGCTCCACCGGGCCCTCTGACCACCAGCAGTAGACAATGCAGGTGAAGTGTCTTGCCCAAGGACACGACGACACTTAAAACCAGACCAGGGCTTGAACAGAAAACCTTCCAGTTGAAGGACAAACTCCAACAAGCCATTGTCGCTCTCAGGGCATACTGTGGTATTGAAAGAGGGGAGCAGTGTGCTCCATTTACCGGTCAGAAGGAGTTAAACTTCTAGCTATTATCTTTGAACTTAAAAACATTACACAGGCTTCCTACAGCATAAGGCGAGTTAAATTCAAGACTTTTTAATGCCACTTGAAATAAAAATTTAAGACCAAATTCAACTAAAAACAAGAACACTTAACAACTTAACCCAAAGGTTTATTTTAACATAAACCACTGCACTAATGTTTTACATTTTTAAAAACTTTACATATAGGAAGAAAGCTAAAAACACACAAATGACAGATATATTTTAACAATAGCAAGGATATAAACAGGGATGGAAGCAAGGAAATAAACAGGGATGGAAGCAAGGAAATAAACAGGGATAGAAGCAAGGAAATAAACAGGGATGGAAGCAAGGAAATAAACAGGGATGGATGGAAGGAAGGAAGTAAGGCAGAGACACAGCGCTGCTGTTGAAGAGCCCTATGATCACTCCAGTGAAACTGTTCATTAACGCCTAAATTAACTTCAAATAATGAAACCTGTCGGCAAAATGTGTTTTCTTTTATTATCTTGGCGCCTCCAGTTTGTGCCAAATACCTAAAAAAAAAAAAAACACTAACATCTACTTCCAGCCACCGCCAACAGTAGGGGGAAACCCCAAAAAGGCGGCGGGGATGAGGCAGCTGCTGCTGGGGATTCCCAGAGACCGCGCACCTAGTGTTACACTTTCTGATTGTTTCAATTAATCTATGAAACATAATATTGTACCTAAAAATTATCTCACGTCTTCCTTCTGAAATTTCCACCTCTAGTCAAGCTCACATACTTCCCATTGTTTAATTTATTTTCTTGGTTTCATTAGCACTTCATTTAACACTACAGATAAAACGCTCTGTGACGGATGGGTCTTGAGCGCAGGGTTCCTACAGCATAAGGCGAGTTAAATTCAAGACTTTAAGACTTTTTAATGCCACTTGAAATAAAAATTTAAGACCAAATTCACAAGAAACAAGAAAAACCTGCTTGCGACAACTTAACCCAAAGGTTTATTTTAACATAAACCACTGCACTAATGTTTTACATTTTTAAAAACTTTACATATAGGAAGAAAGCTAAAAACACAAATGACAGATATATTTTAACTATTATTTAACTGAATTCACAAACTTTGTTTTAGCAGGGAACAAAACTAATCAGGTTTAAAGCCCCAACATAACCAGTGCTAAGTCTTTTTTGCAGCTATTTTTCTTTGTATGGTTTTCTTAGTATGTTTGATTTGGTGATAAGTGGAGGCGTTGCAGAGACAAGGGTGGAACAAAACTGAGAAATACCGGCTGTTTCTCTGTAACTCGATTTTGACGCTTTGTGTTTTGAATAACTTCTTGCACTAAATCCACTGAGCCTCATGTATGTTCCCTGGTTTTAGCCATGGTGAAAACTCTTGGCTGGAGACAATTTTGGTTACATTTACACTTGCTCATATTTTCCAGACAAAAAGTTAAATCTCCCAAATGTCCCGGCCGCAACAACGCTTTTATTGGTTTCGCTATCGGGACGGAACCAATAATGGCGAGCCATTTTTTTTTTTAACAAAAAATAATAATTATCAATTTTAACGTTTTATTTAGATTACAAAAATAAATCGTAATAAAAATAATCCTATTTATGATGTTTTAAAAATTAAGACCTAAGAAAGACTGATTTAAGACATTTTAATACCAATTAAGGCCTTAGTTTCATTTTGAAGAATTCAATGCCTTTTAAGACTTTTCAAGGACCCGCGGGAACCCTGTTACATGAAACCAAAATAAATCAGCAATCAATGTAAACGTGTTTTCAATACTTTAATGGAAGCGCAACAATCCTGTTCCAAGTGGACCAAAAACAAAGCCTTTTTGGCTTAGAAAACATAAAAATTGAACTGGAAGAAAGGGTCTGCCTCTTAGGAATGTGGAGTCGTTTGGGTTCTTTGTTAGCCTGCAATACCCGATGTCTCCGAAGAGTGACATAGACCTGAATGACTGAGAATCCTCACCAGCAAACATTATGTCAGCATATCTGTGTTTCTTTTCTTCAACACAAACGTTTTAGTAGCCGTACCAACCTTCAGGTTTGCTTTGAGCAAGAATGGTGACGTCTTCTCCTTTAGGGATTTCTAGTAGGAAGAGGACGGCGTCTTCACGCACCATCCCTCTGAAGTCTACACTGTTGACCTGAAACAGACGACATTACACATCAATGTGTTCATTTCCATATTGATAAACTACTTATCAGCAAAAGTTGCATTTCAAGTATTCAACTTTTCCTCGTCCCTCTACTACATCTATTCCATTTGTAGATCAGAAACGAGGAGCTGAGTTTGGTACCTTTACGATCTGATCTCCTTTGCGTAGACCCTCCTGCTCGGCTGGACTGTCCTCCTGAACGCCAGCGATGAAGATGCCGACGTCATTGCCTCCCGCCAGCCTCAGGCCCACGCTGTCGCCCTTCTTGAAACGAACCATCACCGTGTTCGGCCTTAGTTACCAAAGAAACAGATTAGTTAAACCAATGGTCTCTTTAACTTTTCTTCACTCATATTAGTGAACCACTGACCCATAGACTTCCTGATCCTCCAAGCTGGGCTTTAGTGGCACCTTTGGGGGAGCCTGAACCCTCGGGGGAACGAGAACCCTTGGGCTGACCGCTGGCGCTGAAAGGATTCAATCAAGCAATTAGGTTTGCTACATCTCGCCATACTTGGCTTGTTTTAACGTCTTTAGGGGCAGCATGAAGCTTACCTGGCGGCGTCTCGGATCGAGGTTCGTCCCTCTCTGGAGGTAGAGGGGATGAGTCTTCCCGTCTATCCAGACCTTTGAAAGGTGTTGGCATGGCGCCCATTTTCGCCAGCCTGTTAGAAGGCTCCTCTCTGATAACAAAAACTTACAGTTGGGAGCAGGAAATGTTTCTACTCTTGAACTCAAAAACATCTTAGGAGTGCCACAAGGTCGTGTCCCAAAGGTCCCAAAAAAAACCCCCCAAAAAATCTGGGACAAATTTATTCATGGGGTACAAAAATTAAAAAACGGTCAGAGTCCAGCAATGTGACCCTAAAAATCCCAGGTCACTTCAGCAGAGTCCAAGAGTGAATTGTAAGGTAACACAGCTCCCAAATAAAGAAAACTAAACACTTTAAATAAAACAAACAGGTGTTTTATCAACATATCATTTTAAAGGGGTAGGCAAATGACAGTTCCTGAGGACTGCTATCCTGCAGCTTTTATATTTGTCTTTAGTCAAAACACCTGAATCAAATGGCTGAATTACCTCCTCAGTATGTTTTCTGTTTCTGTAGTCCTCTCAATCATCTAATTACCTGATTCAGGTGTGTTGGACCAAGGACACCTCCTAAATTTGCAGGATAGCAGCCCTCAGGAACTGGAATTGCCCACCAATGGTTTAATGCTTATTCAATTAGACAGCTGCAGCACTTTTAACTCCTGCTTCTGGTTCTCTTTTTTGCTTTGTGGTTTAAGGCTACGTTCGCACTGCAGGATTTGATGCTCAATTGCGATTTTTTTGCGTTGCCGTTCACATTTCCAAATAAATGCGCTTGTCTGTGATCTCCTGTGTGAACTGAAGTCATTCAACGCAAGTGTCCCGCATGCGCAGTAGAGGACGCGATGACATCACAAGCGAGCGTGCTCTGTGTTTAAGGAAGTAAATATGGATGGTATTGCTGGAGCGCATCTAGCAATCTTTCCCAACCATAAAAACTCAATCTTTTCAAGATGGTTAAACATAAATACTGCTCTCCGCATCATCGTCCGCCATGATTGTTTTTCTTGCCGCTTCTTCATACCAAGACCCAGAATAGTGACCTTTTTCATGTATTAATGACGTTTAGGTCGGATGAATGCGACCTGGCTGTTCAGACACAGGTCGCATTTGAAAATATCAGATTCAGGACCACATAGCCAAGTGTCCTGGGTGGCATTGGAAAAAAATCGGATCTGTGATGTTCAGACTGCCATGAAAAGATCAGATCCAGGTCACATATGGGCCAAAAAAAAAAATCTGATTTGGGTCACTTCAGGCTGCAGTGTGAACGTAGCCTAAGTGTGCAGAAGTAATCCCTATAAACAGTAGAAAAAGCTCAGAAAGGATTGGTCAAGTGTCAGCTATGGTGGTTCTAGAAAATGTTCATGGAGGCGCCAGGGAGGGTCCAATGTGCACTGAAGGGGTGGGGGCACTGAAAACAGACTAGATTTTCTGGAGCTCCATGATGATAAGTCTACACACAATTATATATATGTGCTGTTTAAATTAATGAATGGTTCTACGTAATATAAATATTTAATGGGTTGAGCAGTTGATCATCTTTAATTACGCAGAAGACTCCTAGATAACTGCAGAAACAAACTGTACCTCCATAAAACCTAAACATGCATTCATAGTCCTCTTTAATTATTGTATGACGTCGTGAATAATTAGTTGCAGTATTTTTGTTGTCGGTTTTTGGTTAATATGTTTCAAAGGAGGACATTCAGCGTGATGATATCACTGTTGCCACCTTCTGGTTTAGAGGAGAACTGCTTCTTCCAGAGGCAGTGAATTCTCTTAAAGGTCACAAATATATATAGACCAGGGTTTCTGGTAGATGTAATTTATCATAGCGTACTGCTACATAAAAAAATGTAACATGTTCAGAATGAATTAAAAATTGTAAAGCGTTTGATTTTTTTTATTGTTATTACACTGTCACAAGTACAGAGCAACAGTAAATGTGTTAAATAAACTCTAATTTTAACCCATCACCTTGGGGAGCAGTGGGCTGCCATTGTGCGGCGCCAGGGGAGCAGTGTGGGGTTAAGGGTCTTTGCTCAGTGACCCAGAGTGGCAGTCTGTGGGAGTGGGGCTTGAACTCAGAACCTCAGGATTCCAAGCTCTATGCCCTAACAGCAGTGTGCGAAATACGGGGGGGTCCGGGGGGGCTCGACCCCCCCGATTAACCCATCAAACCCCCTGAAAGCCTCAAAAGCAAAATTTAAAGGGGGTCTTAAATTGTGTCAAAAAATTTTAAACATTTTTTTTGTCACCAATGGTCCCTAAAATATGTTTAGGCTCAACATGTTCAATATTTAAAATTCAAAACATTATTCACAAATATGTTTAATTTTTTTGCCAAGTGGAGCCAGCCAATCCTGTTCGCGTATGCAAATTAGCCATGTGCTTTTCCGCACTTAATAACAAAATGTGGATTGAAAAGGTCTGGGAAATCTATTATATGGAACAAATAACTTATCGCCTGAGGCTTCAAAAAGACATATTTGTTAATAGATGGAAACCGGCCATGACCATATTAATGCAGTAAAACTTTTTTTTTATTATTATTTTTTTTTTTCTTTCATTCTATTCTATTCAATTTCTATTCTATTTTTTTATTTTTTATATTTACTTATTTTCTATTTCATTTTTATCCCATTGGTGCTGCTTATTTAATTACTAACTATATTTATGTTTGTAAGCTACTTATGTTTAACCATGTGACCTACTTTACTTTTAAGCCTAACTTGTTGTATATACTTTCAAAGTTTTGTTCTTTTTTTAAAACTTTACCATATTGAGCGGCAGCCTGAATGTAGGCTTGTATGTATATGTCTGTGTAAGTTGCAAAAATTTAAATAAAAATTAAGTGATAAATAACATGGGCAACGCGGAACAGATTGTTCGAAGACAGCAGGTCTTCACTAGCCTGGGTGCCAGTCCGAACTTAGTCCCGCCCACAACGTTTGAGTTCGGGGAAGTTCGGTCTGGCATTGCTCCATAGTAGCGCGAGTATTAAAGCCCACTGTCAGGCGATACAATCAAATTGTCAGGGCGGGCTTTATACGATGATTGACAGATGATCAACAGTAACGTAATCAACCACGTGACCAAAGCGCGCTTGGGTGACAACAATAATGGCTGCCGCTGGAGAGTTTGGGTGAGTAGATTCTGCTATTAGGTCTGTTCTAGAAGATATCAACAGCAAATTAATTTTAAAAGAGGAACAGAGAAACGCGATCAAGTCTCATCTTCTTATTCTAGGCGTGCAACTGCACACTTTGATTTTTGTGGACAACTATGCGTCGCTTAACATACGTCACGCACTCCGTTGCTCTTATTGGTTGTAGATCTATCCAATTGAGTACAGAGGCATTTTTTTTCCTGGTTCGTTCAAAACACGCCCCATAATCACAGCTCTATGGAGCAGTATCAGACTCATATTCTGACTAGAATTGAGTCGGACTACGTCAGGCTAGGTCTTCACTCCTGTTTGTGGACCTCAGTGGACCTCCTCTGGACAAATTTGACCCAGTTCCATTCGTCAGAAACTGGATTAAAGCAGGACATGGCCTCTCTTCTTCCTGGAAACCAGGACGGCAACCACAGGAAGTCGAGCCTGGGCATCTTGGGTCGGTTCTACCTTAAGGTAAGAAGCTATTTTATAAATTGTCCTGTATGTAGGCCTTGTGTTAGGTTGTGGTCTTAGTGAAGAAGCCTAGCCTTGGAGTTGGAGAGTGATTGTATATGTGACTGCATGCGTGTGTGAAAGGGAGAGAGAGACAGAGAGTCTTTGTGCGTGTGTGTGTTGTCATGTACTAGACTGTCTGTTCAGGCTCTTTATTGTGAAATTGAATGTTTAAATTTTAGTATTAGGAACTGATCTTATCTGTTGTGCCTGTGCACTTTATCTGTTTCACTGTTGGTGAATGAGAAACGTCCTCTCGAGTCCTTGTATGTCTGGTTAATCTGAAGAATTGACATTAAAGCTGACTTTAACTTTGACATTATAATGTAATAGGCCTATTGCATATTGAAAAAATTTTGATCGGTATTGCACAACAATCAGGGGATGGGGACCCCCCAAATATTGACAGGTATTTTGCACACTGCCTAACAGTATGATACAGCATACTGTATATTAACACACTTATTCTGATCATAATCAGAGTTTAAATGACTTTAAAAAATCATGAAATGTTTATTTTAAAGAACCATTGCTCAGCTGCTCAGTGTTTGAAGCTGGTGGCTACAGTGAGCTGCTCTCTACTGAGGAAAACTGGAGACACCAGACCAGTGTTGCTAACTTGCATCTACGGATCATTTTCAAAAAAGTGATAAGCGTCAAATTTAGTGACTTTTCCTTTTGGTGAGTTCAGTGACATCATGTTAAAAGCAGCAACTGTTCTATTGCTCCTATTCAACGACAGCAGCCACAGCTGCCGTGAGTCTCCCTGCTTCCCTCAGCGCTGCCTCACAGGCAGCTGCACTTTCCTCAAAGCCTTGCATGCAGTTTAAGCCGAAAGAGCAGCGAGGAGACACGCTCTGTTTTCCCACAGCGAACGCATTCCACCCTGGATTACAAAGCAGGAATAAAGTACAAAGAGTTTTTAATCTAATCTCTCATTTTATTGTTTATCTTTTAACTCTTCACTATTATGTTATGCGTATTTTTTTTTTTTCAATAATCTTTTTGCTGCTGTTAACAAGAATTTCCCCATTGTGGGACAATAAAAGGATTTTCAATTCTATTTCTATTCTATTATCTTTGACAGTTTTGCACTAAAATAATGACCTGATCACCAGTGATTCAATCACTTGTCTGCCTGATTATTGTCATATTGGTAAAATTAGTTCCATGCAGTGTGGATCGGGCAACGGATAAAATGTCAGATTTCATAAAGTTTAATGTAATTTGTATTTCAATATTTTAATGACATGGTTAATCGTTATAGTTTTGCTTCAAAGAAACACAAACGCATAGAAACCTTGTACTTTGGAAAAAATCCAAATCTAGATGAGTCATTTTTTCTTAAAATAAGTGCATGCAGAAACGTTTAATAATTTCTAGATCGTTTTTCCAGTGTAGAATTAAATGTTTGCCTTTAAACTAAAAACATGGTTTGTGGTTCTGTTTTTTTTTTTACAACTTTAAATAAAACTGCCAAGGTGAATGAAAGTGAAAAGAAAGCGAAAATGCTGAAATATTAAGTGTTTAAAACAGAAATGATATCAAATGTAATATTTGAAGAAATAAATTAGACATTTTACAACTATTTTATAAAATTAAAAGCATTTATCAAAACTAATCCTGTATATTATGTTTTTATGTGCATAAACACATGATTGTTTTTAATTTAAATGAAAATAGTGGCTCAAAAAAAATGATTTAAATACTTTCCACCCTAACGACCCGCCTCGCGCCCTCTGGAGATCGGATCCAGAGCCATCAGAGGGTAAGCAGGTAAATAAAACAACGGATAGATGGATATTTATTAAGTTATAAAGAAAACCGTAACAAATTCAGGAAGTTAATTAATTAGATGTGGAAGGAATGAAATCGATCCAGTTAAACCGGTTTTGCCAGCAAGATTAAAAAATCCAGCAACTTTGTTGAAGCTGGAGTCATAAAGGAAATGTAAGGTTCTGAATTTAAAGAGTTAAAAATTCTGATGTTTCTTACGTTTAGCAAATAGAAATGATTTTGGTAAAACTAAACAAACTAAAACAGGAGCAGTTTGGTCTGATTTAAAGTCTGACATGGAGAATAAAGCGCTTTTCACTGTATGTAAACTTCTGGGCTCAGATGTGTACGGAGGAGAGATAAAAGGAGGCGAGTCGAGTCTTCATTTTGAAAACCTTAAACCGAAGCTAAAAAAAAACGCCACGAAACTGTTGTGTTTGACCAAAATACTGCGGCTGAAAATAGACCAAAGTGAGCTTTTATTTGGCTGCATGAGCGCATACCTGGGTTTGTCTCGGAGCCTCTCATTGGAGGAGTGGGAAGAGAGGTCTGAGTGGTGGCCTCGTCTGTCATCCTGTGGAGAGTAAGAGCGGTACGACTCGATCTCAGAGATATCTGCAAAACACGACAGACGACGTGAAAAATGTCTCTTTTCTGCAGCCCAGCGACTCTCTCCAAATTCAGAAATAAAACCAGAAACATGACTAATCTGCAGGACTAAAACGAAGCACGTTCCACTGATGCTGCTTTTCTACTCCATCACTTCAATTTGAAGCTAAAAAAATAAAGCAGTTTTAGAGAAAGGGGATCAAATCGCTTAGTGTTCCCACTAACTAAAGCATAAGATCCGGATGTCTGAAACGAACATAGAATAAAGCAGCAGGATGGAGAATGAAGAGGAAGGTTTCTGCTTGGTGCTTAAAAAACAAAACAATACAGAAACCTTTAAGTGCGTTTTCTGCAGCAAGCAGAACCTGAACATAATGAAAGGCTGTCATATCCAACAGCAGGATTATGTTTGGGGATTAGATCACCCTGCTGGAGGGGAATGAACTCTTTCACACATGAAGACACACACTCACACACATGAAAGCAGACAAAGTGGGTCACAGGTCTTTGGGCTATTCCTCCTCCCTGAAACCAACAATCCACTCACACCACTCATCTAAAGCGGACCTGACCAATAGCAGTCTGCTGTCTGGGTCATGTGACAATAAAAACAGGTATAAAAGAGTGCGGATGGAGGAGCTACGATGGCTGTTGTACAGGAAGTGGTATTTAAATACGACTAAAAGCGGATGTGAGTAAAAGCTTTTATTTAATGAGCGTAAAACAGATTACAGCAAAAATAATTGGCAACAATCTGATATAATTTCCTCTTACTGGCTGATTGTTACAAATGGAAGTTCACATGCGGTGGGTTTTTATCTTTTTAATAGATTTGTTTTGATATGATGATGGCGATGATGATGGTGACGGCGACGAAGGGCATTCACACCGGGTAGGTCCTGCTGCCTTTCTGTTTCGAGGGTCTCTCACCATCGAGCTCGGAGTCGCTGTCCACCATCGGAGGGATTCGGATCAGGATCTGACGCCGGTCCCTCTGCACCACCAGCTGCAGCTTCCCGCGCGACTTCTCGATCAGCTTCCCGGCGTCGCTGAGGGACAGGTTCTCCGTTACCGTGCCGTTGATCTGGAAGAGGGGAAAGATTGGACCTTTGGGTCATCAGGAAACAAGCCAGGATTCATCAAAAAATCCTAAAGATAAAACGGCTAAAACTATGGAAGGAAGGAAGGAAGGAAGGAAGGAAGGAAGGAAGGAAGGAAGGAAGGAAGGAAGGAAGGAAGGAAGGAAGGAAGGAAGGAAGGAAGGAAGGAAGGAAGGAAGGAAGGAAGGAAGGAAGGAAGGAAGGAAGGAAGGAAGGAAGGAAGGAAGGAAGGAAGGATAAAACTGGGAGGGAGGGAGGGAGGGAATAAAACAGGGAAGGAAGCAAGGAAGGAAGGATGGAAGCAAGCAAGGAGGGAAACGAGGAAGGAAGCAAGATAGGAAGGAAAGAAGGAACAAGGAAGGAAATAAAACAGGGAAGGAAGCAAGGAAGGAAGGATGGAAGCAAGCAAGGAGGGAAACGAGGAAGGAAGCAAGATAGGAAGGAAAGAAGGAACAAGGAAGGAAATAAAACAGGGAAAGAAGCAAGGAAGTAAGGAAAGATGGAAGCAAACAAGGAGGGAAGCAAGGAAAGAAGGAACAAGGAAGGAAGCAAGCAAGCAAGGAAGGAAGGAAGGATGGAAGCAAGCAAGGAGGAAAGCAAGGAAGGAAGCAAGCAAGCAAGGCAAGAACGAACAAGGAAGGAAGCAAGCAAGGAAGGAAGGAAGGTAATAAAACAGGGAAGGAAGGAAGGATGGAAGCAAGGAAAGAAGGAACAAGGAAGGAAGCAAGCAAGCAAGGAAGGAAGGATGGAAGCAAGCAAGGAGGAAAGCAAGGAAGGAAGCAAGCAAGGCAAGAAGGAACAAGAAAGGAAGGAAGGTAATAAAACAGGGAAGGAAGGAAGGATGGAAGCAAGCAAGGAGGAAAGCAAGGAAGGAAGCAAGCAAGGCAAGAAGGAACAAGAAAGGAAGGAAGGTAATAAAACAGGGAAGGAAGGAAGGATGGAAGCAAGGAAAGAAGGAACAAGGAAGGAAGCAAGCAAGGCAAGAAGGAACAAGGAAGGAAGCAAGCAAGCAAGGAAGGAAGGACTGACGGACGGAAGGTAATAAAACAGAGAAAAAAGGAAGCAAGGAAGGTAATAAACAAGGAAGGAAGGAAGACGGACACACAGCTGCTGATGAAGAGCCCTATGATCACTCCAGTGAAACTGTTCATTGCCAGCAAAATGTGTTTTCTTTTATTATCTTGGTGCTGCAGTTTGTGCCAAATACCTAAAAAAAAAAACACTAACATCTACTTCCAGCCACCACCAACAGTAGGAGGAAACCCCAAAGAGGCGGCGGGGATGAGGCAGCTGCTGCTGGGGATTCCCAGAGACCGCGCACCTAGTGTTACACTTTCTGATTGTTAACCATTGTTAATTAACCTATGATACATAATATTATACCTAAAACGTCTTCCTTCTGAAATTTCCACCTCTAATCAAGCTCACATACTTCCCATTGTTTAATTTATTTTCTTGGTTTCATTAGCACTTCATTAAACACTACAGATAAAACACTCTGTGACGGATGGGTCTTTAGTGGTTATATGAAGGCGTACCTTCAGGATAATGTCCCCCTCCTTCAGGTTTCCATCTCTACCAGCGAGTCCGGTGCTCGTCATCTCCTTGATGAAGAGCTGGCTGCCCAGACGGAGGCCGTACTCTGGGGGGAAAATAGGAAAAAAAGAAAAAAGAACGGATTAATCATCAGAGAAACATATCAGCTCTGGTTATTTTCTGCTTCTTCTTTACAAAGCCCTCCTCCTGGTTGGACCTAGAAGGATCAGTAATTTAAGGATGAAGGACCAGAGATGGAGAAACACCTGAACAGCAACAGTCCTGTGGATAAATCCTGATTAATCCATCATTGAAATAATAAACTAATTTAAAAACCGATTCATCTTTAACTGCAGTGTTGAGTTTCTGTTAGCCAACAGGCCAACCATCACAGAGCAGTTATTACACCACAAATGCATAAACATCTTTAAATATTTTGTCCATCAATACGTTCTATCTCAGCTCCTCCTGTAGCTTCACATATATCTTTAATTAGAAATACGACGCATGTCACTGAATAAAATTATATTGCACATTTATTATTATTATTGTGCATTGACTGAAATAAAGTTCTGGATTAAAAGCTAAGATTAAGGTGGAGGAATTAAACATTGTTTGAGAAGCTTTAAGAGCCGTTCTCCTCAGAATAAATGTTTCCAACTAGAATAAGAGATTAATTTCCTGTAAACCAATGTTGCACATTCTAGATTAATAAATCAATTATCAGCTGCTGTCATCTGAAACGACATTAAAGAAGCAGGTTCTGTTGACTGTAGAGGGTTTTAGTTAAACAAACCGGTTGGCAGCTTTTAAAGCATGAGACGCCACTGGAATATTCAAACACCAATTCAGACACCACAAAAATTACTTTAATAATCCCTCTCAAATGCAGTCGGTTATAGTCTGACTAAGAATGGATGCTTTAATCTGTCGGCAGTACGCAGCTGAATCAGGTGAGTCTCTGGTGAATGGCTTCAAAGGAAGAAATGAGTGGATCTGCTAATTAGGTTCACAGAAAATGGATAAATATCTCAACAGTTGTGTTTTTATAATGAATGGCGTCCTTGAGATCTTCTGAATAAAAAGGTGAGTTGAACAAAGGTAAGGAAGAAACTAAGGATGCAGGATATAATCGGCCCCCTATCGGTATCGGCCTTAAAACTGAATATCGGACATCGGCCACCCCACCGATATTTAACCCGATATTTGATCAGCTTCTGAGTTTCTACAGTCTAAAAAAAATAAAATAAAAATACTACTTCTTCTTCCTCAAAAACCTCTTTTTTACAGACTTAAAAACTTCTAAAGACGAGGGAAAAAATATTGATACATTAAAATATCCCAATATCTTCATATGCTGATATATTGCCATTTAAAAACACCATATCAATCTCTATTACTGATGAAATATTGCTATATGTCATCGTTATGCTACGAAATCACCCGAAAATTCACAAAATTTTGCCATATATGTTGATATATTGACGCGGTATCGATCTATTTTACTAACAAAATCTCACAAGAATTTGCAAAATACCACGAGAGTTTGTAACAGAACGATGAAATTTTACGAGATTTTGAAAGTAAAATAGATCGATACCGCGTTTTTAAAAATCTATTTGATATCAGCATATGAAAATATATTTGAGTATATTATTTTTCAAAGTGTCAGAAATGGATAACAAAACTGCTATTTTCAATGACTACTTATTTTTGTCCAGCTTTTACATCGGTATCGATATCGGTTATCGGCTACATGAGTTTTAAAATATCTGCATATCGGATATCGGCCAAAATCCCAATATCGTGCATCCCGATCTGAGCCCTGAAGCTAAGAACTGGTGGCTCCACCTCTGGCAGCAGATGTTTTTGATAGCTGGCGGGTTTCGCCCTTTTTCTGACGTATAAAATTGCTTCACTTCAGTCAGACTTGAGAGTCTGAGCCTCACAGCACAGCATCTCATTAAAATTTCCAAAAACCACAAATAATATTTCCCCAAACCTCTTTGGGACGATCAGGATACTTAGTGGTCAGTGTCTTCAATCATATTTCTGGTTATTCTGAGAGTTTGAGCTGGACTATAGTTGGACAGTTTATATCCTGTTTATGTCCATGTTGTTTTGTTTTTTAGATTCTGGACGATTTATATTGGATATTGTTTTTTTAAAGCCCTAATAATCTATTCCAGCCTTTAAAATCCCATTTCGGTCGGGCTCTACTTTTCGCTAACATTTCAAACAAACAGGTCTGGATTGCGTTCTTTAGCAAGGCTCTGCAGCGTTTGATGTTTCTCACCTTCGTTGGGATGGTTCTTCAGCAGCAGCACATTCACAGGTTTCTCCAGAGGCTCCAGATCGCGGGCGGGGCGGGGCAGCGGGATGGGAGCCGGAGGCGGCGATGGCGAGCGGTCCAGCCGGTCCCTGCTGGCAGTTCGCCTTATGGGCTCGTTGTACCTCTGGTCCCGGTCCCGCCCTCGTTCAAAGCTCGGGTCGCGCCTCTGGCCTCGTCCCGGGCTGTAGCGCGAGTCGGGGCTGTGGGCGCGGTCCAGCGTCCGCTCGCTGCGGTAGCGTCGATCCGGGCTGTAGTCTCGGTCGAGGGTGCGCTCGCTGCGGTATCTTCTGTCTGGGCTGTAGTCGCGGTCCAGCGTATGCTCGCTCTTGTAGCGCTGGTCGGGGCTGCGATCCAGAGTGCGCCCCCTGCTGCCGTCTCGTCTGTAGTTGCGGTCGGGGCTCAGGTCCCTCTCGGCGCTCCTGCCGCGGTCGTAGTTCCGATCACGGGTCTGGTAGCCAGAATCCATGTAGCCTCGGCGCTCCCTCTCCACGCTGTTGTCCCGCCCGCTGGTCATGCTGCGGCGGTCCGGGTCGTAGTTGTAGTCGCTGTAGTTGTCATTGCTGAAGACTTCAGGGGAAGGAGGGCGGGGCATCACATTGACCGGAACCTTCCGGGGTCTCTTAACCGTCTGCACCAGACAAAAAAAAAAATCAAATAAATAAACAGGAGAAAGCTTCTTATTCTCTGAGGTTTCTAAAACATCAGGGCTCCTACACATCCTCCATGGAAAGTTCCACAATTTTCCAGGACGGACTTTTCAGTTCGTTTAAAAACAAAAGACAAAACAGTAAGTCTTGTTTGTTTTGAACTTTAAAGGATAAAAAGAAAGGAAAAAAGGAAGGAAGGAAGGAAGGAAGGAAGGAAGGAAGGAAGGAAGGAAGGAAGGAAGGAAGGAAGGAAGGAAGGAAGGAAGGAAGGAAGGAAGGAAGGAAGGAAGGAAGGAAGGAAGGAAGGAAGGAAGGAAGGAAGGAAGGAAGGAAGGAAGGAAGGAAGGAAGGAAAATCAGAATAAACCAGGATAGACCAATATTTGGAAAATTGATATTCCATGTTTTTTTATTCTAACTTTTTTTCTGACCTGGAAAATCCTTAAATTATATTCCAGTCTGTGTAGGAACCCTGTGATGCATAGAGGTTAAACGGTGATCTTACAATTTTTGCAGTTTTTCCACATTTCCTGAGGGTCTGCACAGCGGCGGAGTGCAGAGCCCCCTCCATGGACATGTTGTTCACCATAATCACCCGATCTTTCTCACTAGATAGACACAAATGGAGAAGAAGTTCAAATGAAGCCAGACGCAGCTGCTTCGCTCTTTCACTACAGAAACCAAAGATACTCACAACAAGAGTCCCTCGGCGGGGCCTCCCTGCAGGACGTCCGACACCACGATGGACGTCTCGCCCGTCTCATCGTTTGGGTTGTCCCGTCCTCCAGACACTGCGATGCCGAAACCCATTTTGGAATCCTGAAAGCAGAAGGAAGAGTGTAAACGGGAAGAATACATCGAGAACAATCCAGGTTTGTCTGTCGGGAGGATTCCACATGAAATGAAACCAAAGGTAAAAAAGAAATGTCAGAAGCATCTTGCTAACCAGTTAGTAACTTAGTGCTCATAGGTTCCCAATAAAAAATTCCATTATGATCAAGTAGCACTTGGTGACTTAAGGCTGATTTATTCTTCGAAACTAGGTTGTCTGCGTAGGTGTTGCAGTAAACAAATACTACGCATACTACGTTTCAAAATCTTGCATAAATCAAAAATGTCTGCTTCAAGCTCACTTCGACACACTGCCGCAGGAGTATAACCAGCCCTTTAGAAACGACATTGTCAAGGAACGCTATGGACAGCGGAAACATGCAAGAGAGGGAGAATTTAGTGTCAGAGGTCGTGGATGAGTCTCCTCCGTCATCAATTTTTTATTTAGAGGAGGAAAGCGGGACGAAGATGTTGTGGAAGAGGACGCCAGAAGCTTGTTTTGGTGTAGAAGGCTTCCAGCCGTACATGTTTGAGCCCTTGCCTCGCAACGCTGCCAGTTCTGTTAGCTCTACGCCTGCAGAAGACACAGACGTCCATCCCCGTGAACACTGGGACGCAACTCAATGGTGAAGGAAATTATTCTTATTTCAATCGTTGTGTATATTAGCTACGATATATGAATCAAGAGGCTGTGACCCAAAAAAAAAGTGATTGACAGATGACCGGTGATATACAATTGGCCGAATTTAGGTGTACAAGCTGACGTATAACTAACTGGCCTGCATAAAATAATGAAAAAAAAAAAAAAGACTTTAAGACAGGATTATTTTTAAATAGTAAATTTTCTACCTTTTGGGACAATATAGTCTGATAAAGAGTACATTTATATACATGTTTAAGGTAGAATGATTTGACATTTAAATATGATTTCTCTGATTTCTCTCTTTAATAAAAAAAAATCATGGGCAGGGAGGCGTACTGAGGCATTAAATCAGGGGTCTTCAATGTTTTCCAGTCCAAGGACCCCCAAACTGATGGAGAGATGGAGCAGGGACCCCATAATTATAAACATATATTGTATGAAATTGTGTTCTGTCAAACTGGTCCTATAGTCTCTCTATTATAGATGGAGTCATGTAACTAAAGTAATTTCATCCTGGGATTATTGAAGTATTTCTGATTCTGATTTCTCATTGATGGGACAGGTGTTGTGAATGAAACGGTGCTCAGCCTAAAAGAGCTCCTGTGTGTCGCTGAATGTGTGCATTGATGACTGAAAGACATCTTCTACCTCCATTTATCTGTTTACTACAGTCTGTTGAATTCATGTTAATGTGGATTTAAAGACATTTCAATTAGTGGAAAAAATAGCAGGGGGAATATAAAAAAAAAAAAAAAAAAAAAAAAGTAATTAACCAAAACTTTTGCGACCCCCATTTAGTACCCCTGTGGACCCCCTAGGGGTCGCGGACCCCCTGTTGAAGACCTCTGCATTATGGAATATATCCGAATTCATTAGTTTTTTGTTTAGTGATTGAGCGGATCTTGGAGGAGATGAAGGTTTGGTTAAAATCTTGCTGGTGTTGTCAACCTTCGCTGCGGCCAGGTTAAAAAAAAAAAAATGGCTGGGATCTGCTTTTTTTATTACTAAAGATGAGAAGTGCAAAATAAAGGATGCTTTAATAACAAAATAACAACCCTATATTGTAAAGACTACAGCGGCAATAATAGAAACCTAATTATAAGGCACTTCCTACAGTCTTACTAAGGGTTTAAGAGTTATGTGAATACATCGTGACTTCTGTCTTTATTTTCAGATCTGTGAGTTATTTTGGTAACCTACCATGGGATTTGTGAACACAGTCTTTCAGGCTAAGGTGCGTTTGTCTTCTTGAATAAATAAAGTAAATCACGAAAACAAGAAAGAGGAGAATGACAAACAGAAAGAGATGAGAAGCCATTGCCTGAATACCAGCAGGGAGAGATATTCACCTGGTTTAATTTAAGATACTTTTCATCTGTTGAGTTTGTAGCTTCTAAAAATATCTAGATTCTTTTTTAACCAACAAATTTAACAAATTTTATGGACTAGTAATGTTCAGTAGATTGGAAAATATTCTGTTCTGGGTTTCCTAAATTTATACTGTTTATATCTATATCAGATTTATATAACTAAAAACCCAAATTAAGAAATGTATCGTGATGCCGTCACCTAGGAGCATTTTTCACCCGCTCCTTTTTATTCCACCTGGTGTTACTGAGGATGAGATTAAGTTGGAGATTTGACGACCGCGTCATCATCCCCTCGCTTCAATCCAGACACATGAAAACACAATTCACCTCTTCCCTCCATCTCTAGCAGATGGCTGTTCAGGCAAAGGGAGGATGAGAGCTGGAGCACAAAAACAGAACACGAGCGGCCATTTTTATCCTACTGTTCTATTTCTAGATGTATCAAATGGTTCGATTCTAGACTGAATTAAAGACGACACAATGTCAGAAAATCATTAAAAGAAAATTATAAAAATTTACAAAATTTCTCACTTGATTCAATGTTTACATTTTTGGGAAAACCTTGTTTCAGTTTTTTTTTATATTTTAATAAATCAATCATTTTGATTCTTTAAAAAAAAAAACTCAATTAAAAAAGTATAATAAAACTTTTTTTTAAAGTAAAATATTGAAGCCCTTTTCAAGAAAATTACTTAAAAAAATTAAATAAAATTGAACTGTTTTGACCCATTTCAACTTTTTACACATTAATGGATTTTTCATTCTCATTTTATGGATGAGACTTGTTTTTACTTCTATATTCAATGTTTCCTGTAAATTAAACCACTTTCAGCTAAACATTTTAATCTTTCATAAATCAAAGTTTATGTTTTTATGGACGTTAATTGTCCTTTTAATTTAAGCCGCACTGGGCTGTAAGTCGCTGAAATCTACTGAACTGTCTCCTACCAAACCTGGAGGGGAGAGCTGTACATGTTACCCCTGGAGCAGGGAAGAAGAAGAATGCTAGCTCCCGTTAGCTTGTTGGCTCACTGCAGCTTCTACTGAACGACGGGGCTTCTTCGGCTCTTTATTTCAGCTCTGCAGGAGTTGAACCCAGCCTCTTCATTGGTTCGGCAGCTTTAATGCGGCAAATAGATGTCAAACTGTGTGAATTCGGGACATTTGTTCTTAGACTTGGACAACTTTTTTTCATTTTGTATACACAGAGTGTATATAAAACAAAATTTTGTTTAGTACAGCTTTCCAGACAGTAAAGGAACATTTCCATTCCATAAAGCGCAGCAGTGATCGTGCTGCTAGCATATTCTAGTGCTGAATGAAAATTAGCCTCTTCTTTAATTTCCAACTTTGAATTCTTGCCATGGCGGTGAGGAAGAAAATCCACAGAAAAGCAGCACTTTCGTATAAGCTGCATGGTTCAAAGTAGGGCTGGGTGATAATTCAATAACGATATATATCGATCGATAGACGTGTGGCGCAATAGAAAAAAAGAGGTTCGATAAAAAAGAAACGCTGTTTTCCTTCCTTCTCATTGTAGCCTAGCATGTAGGTTTATGCTAGTCACTGCTTCCTCCCAACCAATCACAATCGCGGACCCAGGCACGCCGTCACAAAGCGCCGCCCTCTCAAACCACAACACAGAGCACATGAAGATGTCGCAGCAAGGAGAGGCGGAGGAAATTGTTTCAAAGAAAGGTTTTTGTAGTTCGGCAGTCTGGCAGTATTTCGGTCATGGCAAGTCGGACAAAAAACAAACCACAGTCATCTGTAAAATTTGTAGGGAACCAGTGAAAACCCAAGTCTGATAACGAAACCAACTTTTTTTTAATCATCTCAGCCGCTCACACCCGCAGGAGTACGAGCTGTGTAGGCCCCGACGCGGCTCTCTTCCGAGGAATCTTCTGGAATTTAATGACATAACTCTCTTAAGTTATTTTTCTTTAAAACAATTCTGTTATGGTTAAAAAAGTTGGTTAAATAAAGATTTAATTCAAAGTCTGTGTTTGTGTTCTTTATTAAAATTAAATCATTTAGCAATATTATAAAAAAGTCCAGTCAGAGCTGCACATAAAATATGGTTTCAAATCTTTTCAATAATTATCAATATCGATCAATATGCTTTTTTTTTTAATCGATAAGCTTTCTTTCTATATTGCCCAGCCCTAGTTCAAAGTGTGGGGAAAAAGTAGCGACTTATAGTCCAGAAAATACGGTAATCCCAATTTCCCTTTGGGTTGAGATGCTAAATCATTTCAGTGTCAAAAGTGGGCTTAGTGTTTTTCAGCTAATGAAACTAATAGAGCAAAACATTTCAAAGGTTGATCATTTCTGTACTGGTCTACTGACTGATCGGACGGCCGATCAGCCTCCACTTTATTTTAGAAGATCAGTAATGGATGTAAAACGGATCCTCTCCACCGATCTAATCTACCGGACCAAAGCTCTGAAAATCACCCATTGTCAATGCTCTAAACTTTTTATTTGAGAGTTTTTATTGACTCACAGGCTTCATTCAATGTTTTTCAGTAAGATAAGACTGTAAAGCTGTTTTGTAGTCTTATTAATGATAATTATATATAATTAATGATATTTTGGCATAGGCCAAAATGGTGCTAGAGCAGTAGGGCAAGCCTTTAAATAAAATCAATTTAAGCCAGAAATTTGCAATCGGTGCACCCCTAAGTAAAACATGTCGTTTAGACTAGGGTTGTCACGATACTAAACTTTTCAACTCGATACCGATACTAAGTAAAATATTCGATACTCGATACCCTTTTCGATACCACAAGAATAAAAACAAAGACTCTAAAATTCAACAGAAATATTTTCATTACTAAAAAAAAATACAAGAAATAAATATAAAAAACAATAAGAATAATATTTTGAGGTTATATGCTGTGCACATTATTAAGCAAGCTTGATAAAAAACTTAAAATTAAAATTAAGTGTTCCTTCCTTGGCTATGTTTTGCA